ACTAGTTTTGGATATTTAAAAGAGGAGGTAATGCTTGCGCGTTTTTTTTTTCAAACCAATTACAAATGCATCATACTAAATGAAATTCGACTAAATCATAAGTAATTAACACTAATTAATGTCTTTTTTTATATTTGTTTAACTATATCTTTCCAAATACGTTGTTTCAAACGTTGAAAAAAAAGTTTGATAAGCGATAAGTTTGTAAAAAAAAGTTTGATAAGCGATAAGTTTGAGGACTCCTTTAATTTTGACCTTTATATTTTAAATATGTTTTCTTTTTAGCCAGGGATTTGATTTTTAACGACTTTTAACGCATTTGTTGCAAGTGACTAACCTTTAGATATGATTTATAAGTTAAAAAACGTTTGTTTTCTAAATCTGTATGACTTGATAACAAAAGAAAACGTCAATTGTGTGAAATGAGCCGTTATGATGATGAATGGCATTTTTACGGTATATAAGTGATTAGTCTATTGCTCTTATATATACGGACTTGTTAAAACTAAATTTACACACGTTTTCTAATTCGAGCGAAATTATGCATTTATCAGACTAATTTCACTCATTTATTGATATGAATGTTTTTACTTCTTTTGTCATAAGTTTGAAAATAGCAGTTATATATCATTTTTGCGGCAGAAATGGTTTGCAACATGCGATGAATGGGTTATGAGAAAATATTTAGTAATCAGTGTAACATTATATATTGAATCATTATTTTGATTAAAGGCAATAAGAAACCGCAGAAAATCTTTACAAGGTGTTACAGGTCAGATTATGTTACCTGATTACGTAATTGTATATATCTTCAAATCGAACAATAAAATGAAGTGTAAAACACTGTATATGTATATGAAAACGAAAAATACCTTGGTATTTAAGAGGGACAGAAAAACGCTCAGTAATTTTAGAGCAGTATGTTAGAGCAGCATACCATAATTATGATAATGGAAATGAAAAAAAAAATAATTAAAACGAACAAATAAAGATACAATTTAAAGAAAACATCTGAACTATTGAATAGTTAAAACATACTTCAGTTTAATAGTGAAGAAAGAAAATAGCATGTTTGGTTTATACAGAATTTATTAGTTCGATTGTGTAAGGAAGCTATTGGCTTATAGACACACGTTTGAATCTGTTCCTAAAACCAACCAGTACTGAGCAATGAGTGTAAAGTTTCTTGCTCAAGGAAACAACGACATGTCTCTGATGGGGTTTGAACCCTTACGACTAGCGATCATTAGATAATTAGTCCGATGCGATAACCACTCGGCCATGCGGTCAAAACTAACCAAATTGAACCAATTGAGTCCAATTCCTAAATCAACACAGTACTGGTGTCATATATAAGGAAGCAATTTCGCCGCTCCAGTTTGTCTTGAACTTAGAAACCCTTGGCTTAGTGGCAGATACCTTAACAACTAAATTTTGTAAATTGGACAAAATTCTCCGCATAATAGTTCCAAGTAAAATATTTTACTCTACTTCTACTAAACACATGCGCAACAATAATTATATATTTGATAATAAATAGTATAACATCCTAAGCTCGAAATTCAAATTGCATTAATAAACATACCAGTTTGTTTAATAATCCTTTTTTGCAAAATCCTTTTTGTTTTGTTTTCTTCCCGATGCACTACGGAAGCGTCCTGGTGCCAATTCATAATGTTCTATAAAAAAATAAACTCCTACGTAGGAGATAAAAAAGCCTAATTAGGAGTTTGTAACTCCTACGTAGGACTTTTAAACTCCTACATAGGACTTTGTAAGTCCTACGTAGGACTTTATAACTCCTACGTAGGACTTTATAACTCTAACGTAGGACTTTATAACTCCTACGTAGGACTTTGTAACTCCTACGTAGGACTTTATAACTCCTACTTAGGAGATAAAAAAGCCTAATTAGGAGTTTGTAACTCCTACGTAGGACTTTTAAACTCCTACGTAGGACTTTGTAACTCCTACGTAGGACTTTATAACTCCTACGTAGGTGATAAAAAAGCCTAATTAGGAGTTTATAACTCCTACGTAGGACTTTTAAACTCCTACGTAGGACTTTATAACTCCTACGTAGGAGATAAAAAAGCCTAATTAGGACTTTATAACTCCTACGTAGGACTTTGTATCTCCTACGTAGGACTTTTAAACTCCTACGTAGGACTTTATAACTCCTACGCATAGACATCGTCGGATACCCACGATTGATAAACATGTTACATAACATGCAATCAATGATGAATGTTAATGGTTCGGCCGTGGGTATCCGACGATGACGCATAGAATACATATCAAAGAACTGAAAGCACAGAGTTCGACAGACATGTATGCAAGAGCATATTATGTAGGAAAATAAATTATATGAGCCGCGCCATGACAAAACCAACATAGTGCATTTGCGACCAGCATAGATCCAGACCAGCCTGCGCATCCGCACAGTCTGATCAGGATCCATGCTGTTTGCTTACCAACCCTATTACAAGTAGAGAAACTGATAGCGAATAGCATGGATCCTGATCAGACTGCGCGGATGCGCAGGCTGGTCTGGATCCATGCTGGTCGCAAACCCACTATGTTGGTTTTGTCATGGCGCGGCTCATATGTGTCAAGTTGTAATTGTGGCAAGCCACTTTAGTAAATACCTTTAGTCTGTAGCCAGAGATGATTTTGTCATTATCTGCATATATTGAACGATGATTCTGTATTATGTACGTTTAGTTATATTTATTAAACACATGTACACAAAATGTATGGGTTAAACTTTGTTCAAAGTAGGATGTACAATATAAAAACATATGCATGCATAATGCTCCTCAAACCGTTATCTTAAACTTTACGGAGCAGGAACAAGACACTTCACTACCCCCCTCCCCCCTGCCCCCTATAAGGATTTAATCATTTGAAATGGCCAAAATGGATAAAATTGCTCGTTTTGTTCAGCTAGTTCGTATTGAAATCGTAATCATTAAAGCCTTTTAAAATTTTGATATATATGCTTGATGTCGAGTAAGTTTTTTTCGAATAGCTGTAAAGCAATTTTTCGGGATACATCGCCAATGCTTACAGACACCTCACCCTAAGACACTGTACACTCTAGAAACCTGAGACACTTTATTAAAAGGTGAAGTGTTGCGGCATGGCCGTGTGACTAGTAGCCTAATGATCGCTAGCCGCATGGGTTCAAACCCCGTTAGGCGCAAGCCGTTGTTTCCTTGAGCAAGAAACTTTACACTCATTGCTAAGTACGTACTGGTTGGTTCCAGGAACGGATTCGAAAGTGTGTCTATAAGCTTATAGCTTCCTACACAATCAAACTTAAATAAATTCTGTATGAACCAAAGGTGAAATGTCCTCTATATTTAAGATTTGAGGGGGGTGGGGGTAAGTGTCTTGTTCCTTCGCCGATATACCGGTCCGGAATGTTGAGATTTGCAAAGCATTCTGTATGCATTTCTTATAAAGTCATAAAGTCCTACGTAGGAGTTATAAAGTCCTACGTAGGAGTTAAAAAGTCCTACGTAGGAGTTTAAAAGTCCTACGTAGGAGTTAAAAAGTCCTACGTAGGAGTTTAAAAGTCCTACGTAGGAGTTATAAACTCCTAATTAGGCTTTTTTATCTCCTACGTAGGAGTTTTAAAGTCCTACGTAGGAGTTATAAAGTCCTACGTAGGACTTATAAAGTCCTACGTAGGAGTTTAAAAGTCCTACGTAGGAGTTATAAACTCCTAATTAGGCTTTTTTATCTCCTACGTAGGAGTTATAAAGTCCTACCTAGGAGTTAAAAAGTCCTACGTAGGAGTTTAAAAGTCCTACGTAGGACTTACAAACTCCTAATTAGGCCTTTTTTTATCTCCTACGTAGGAGTTATAAAGTCCTACGTAGGAGTTAAAAAGTCCTACGTAGGAGTTAAAAAGTCCTACGTAGGAGTTTAAAAGTCCTATGTAGGAGTTATAAACTCCTAATTATGCTTTTTTTATCTCCTACGTAGGAGTTATAAAGTCCTACTTAGGATCGAGTTATAAAGTCCTACGTAGGACTTTGTAAGTCCTACGTAGGAGTTATAAAGTCCTACGTAGGAGTTTAAAAGTCCTACGTAGGAGTTACAAACTCCTAATTAGGCTTTTTTATCTCCTACGTAGGAGTTTATTTTTTTATAGAACATTATGAATTGGCACCAGGTCGCTTCCGTAATGCACTTAACCTTGTTAAAAAAAATCTGTCAATAACAATGAAATGCCACGAAAATTCATGGAAACCGTGCCTAACTATAGTAAATAAAAATTCCCACGGTATCTGTTTACATTTACTATAGGTTTGACTGCATTTTTGATGACCATCATTTGCTGTATTTGTTGTATTTTTATTTGTCACTATTGTTTGTTTGTTGGGGTTTTTTTTGTTGTTTTTTTGTTTTGTTGTTATTTTTTTCACATTTGACAAAGAACATGAACATTGTTGTTAAATGTATTTATTATTCTGTCCCCGCAACACTATGCTCATTTACCTTAAATTGATAACTAGCTAACTAATATATGATCTAACCCACATATTGTTAATATTTTAGATAAATCGTCATGTTGTTACCATGTTTGTAACCTGATTTACCAATAAAGAGTATTGTATTGTATTGTAACTAAGTGACGTCTCCCTTCAGAAATGAAGTAAAATACAAATTATGCTCATTACGCAAATAACCGTTAATGAATACAATATTTAAAAAATATTTATCGAAGGTAGCACTTAATCTGAACAATTCAATTTAGTTCAAATATTTGTTATTCATTATTGAGATATACTGGTTTATATATGAGCCTATACTGTTACAAGAAATAAAATATTTTTTAACATAAAAAATGTTTCAAATTTTCGCTTATAAAGCATAAACGCTGCAAAATGAATCATTTTAATGTGCAAATATCATCATCCAATATGCACCGAATTAGTTTAAGTCCTTGAATAACAAAATAGTAAAATTATAGCCGTTGACAAAAGAAGGAAACTCCCTTTAAACAGAACTTAGTGACATGCTTGTTTTGTTTAAACTTTAAACACCACTTTGTATGTGGTTTATCGTAATATGTGGTATCAAATGGTTTTTAAAACAAGATTAGAAAAGATGAACATGGTTTTATGTACAAGATTTGCTTAAATATTCAAGCAAAACCGATTAATGGAAACTATTTGATCAAAGCAATATTAGCGGATTGATAGGTTTTTACTGTGTCTTCAATATTTTCTATGAAATAACTGGTTATTAAATAACATACTGTGAAATATCTGGTTAATAGATGACAACATACTTTAAAATAGCTTGTTATTGTTATTGGATAACATTTGATGACCATAATGGTTATGAAAGGGAAATGTTCTAAATTTAGGTAAGCTCTTCACCTATTCGCATATCAATTTTATGTCTGGCATCGAATGAGAATTTAAATATGTGGTCAGAACCTGCGTGTAATGTTTCAGAAAAATTATCTTTAAACCATAGTTATCCACCATCAATTGATATTTAACATAAGTTGTACGTAAATTATGTCTAATATTGCTTAAGATATGTAAAGTATAATTGTTTACTTCAAAATATACTTCATTCTATTTTCGCCATTGTGAAAATCCGTATTTTGATGAATGTTTCTTATATAAGCTCCGAAAATTCGCATGTTAATAGTAATTACTGGGCTTCCTGACGTCATTATTTTTTTCTCATTTGTTTACTATAACAATTGAACAATTAATTGTTTAGAGTTAATTTTCAAAGAAAATACTTTAAGCTTTTACTTCATTTTTTAAATTAAGAATATTTGTAACCTTAGAACCGACCATTTTGATAACTGAATACATTTTGCTTTGTCTTGTTATTAACATAAGTCTGGAGTTGTTTATACTTTGATAACATGATTATTCAGATAATTCTTAATTGTTTAATTTAGATACTATTGTTACAATGTAAATTGTTACAAAGTATTAATTACTTTTTTTTCCCAGATATTTATATGTATGAATGCGTTGTATGACGATGAACTGTATGCTTAAGTCTTAAATAATCATCTGTTCTGTTCTGGTAATGTTGAAATTTTGCACACAGACTTAACAAAATATTATATATTTTTTAGTTTGTCATGCGCGCTTGTTATGATTATCTAAATTTGTAGGATGTTGATAAAATAACTACACACTGTAAGTGAGCTCTACAACATTTTGCAACAAACAATGCATTTTTGTACAGGCATTGACATCATTTTAAACTGTATCACACTAGTCTGGCTGGAACCAGCACAAAATGTTCGTGCATTATTTTGTAGCAATCTACCAATCTTACATTATGCTATCCTCTAAAAGTAAGAGAATTTTTGCCAACCGTTGTTTCGTGTTTTTTGTTGTTTTGTCCAGTGTTGTTATATTTTTCTGGTCCTTTGGGAGAATTGATTCCAGCATTTGTAAGTGTTGAAAATTGAGTACCGCTCAAGCCGGTGCTTGGGGACATGATGGGTGTTGAACTTTCTATTTATCCCTCTTGTACAGACTCAGTCGAACCGAATCCTCATGTAATTTTGCTGATTTTAATGCTTCCGATGGATCACTTTTTCAGATATTCGACTTTTGTTCTTAATTTATACAAGATATTTAAGAAACAGATACACGAACAAATAGAATACAGTTTTTATACTTTATGACATAATGTAGTTGATTAACAGATTTAAAGGGTGTTTCTGCGAAATGTTATAGAAAAAGTCAATTGAAACTCTGATATAACCATACAACAACAAACGGAGTCAGTTTTAGTTATACTCTGATACAGTTTCAGACAACTCTTAGGCTTCATATTTTATAATGAAAGAGATCTTTTGGACACAGGGAAACAGCAACTGATTTTTGTTATAAGTTTGAAATGGCTGTTTGTGCAACGTGTCATTAGTCTACATATTTAAAGTACAGTTTAACATTGAGGCATTAAACACTTTAATCACAGGAGTCAATTATCATTACAAATTCATTTAAGTTTGTATCATTTATAAGTAATTTCGTTTAGTTTTTGTACAAGGGAAATTAAATTCTCATATTAAGTGAAAAGTCTGCACACATTTTATTTTTAAAATTGAATAATTATACTATTAAAATGTCATTACGATACTCAAAAAGTTAGTCACACACGATATAAATGATATTTTACAAGTAAGACGATCATAATTTGATACTAAAATCAAAAGACTGATGATAAAAGGTGAAAACTGATGAAAATACAAAATATAATATCATTAACCTGTTTTTGACAAAGAGGCCTAGACCTACAACAAGGAGCACACAAGTCTGTCACGCGATGCGTCGATTACCAAAATATTCTCACTTGAAATTAAGATAAAGGCTACTCGGTCATTGAAACATTACAACTGAAATGGAGTAGAGCATGACCCTTCTTCCATTGAGATTTTGTAATGATAATTGTACTTGTCTACCAATGTATCAATCCCAGACAAGTATGAAGGAAAGTTATATTTAAATATGTCACAATCTCACCATATATTATATATATTATTTTTTAATGAAAATATAGAAAGTAATAAAAAAATATGTAATCTGTATGAAAGTATATGTATACTGTACATTTAAAAAAAAGTTCCATTAGTTCTGTTACATCACATTTCAAATGAATCCATTATTATGGCCTTTACTTTGTTGTTCAACATGTTATTCACGAACATATGAAATAATAGCATCGAACTTTACTAGTTGTTTATGGAACACGATGTATTGTATGGTTATAGTAATTGTTATTGTTTAATTTGATAGAACAGAACAGAACAGAACAACAATTTTATTCATGACTTGTACAATAAGTACATCATATTAAAACATCTTTTCAGTATTAAAGATAATTTAAGCCTTTGTGTGGCATAATGAACCTTTAATTATGAGTTTAGGTAGTAACTCATAAAAACAAAAGTTATGAATTTAAACTGGTTGTTTATTTAAGAAATAATATACTGTATCCCAAACTGTGATTTTATTGCTCAATAACATCACTGTTTGGAGTTCGGATGCGGGAATTATATCACGAGGGCGTAGCCCTCGGAGTGAAATAATGATGCGCATCCGAACGACAAACAGTGATGTTATCAAGCAATAAAATCACCGATTTGGATATATTATTTCGATTCTAACACGACATCAACAAATAAATGCTGCCGTACATGATAATTAGATAAACTGCGCCTCATTTGTTTCCGTACTTATTGTCAGCGCGTCACATTTTTAGTGGTTACGTCACGTGTATAACGATTCCGTCACATATCTAAATATAGAACGTCAAACAGTTATTTTATAGCATAATAATACACACTTTCGGTTCTTCTATGTTCAATAAGGAAAAATGCGGGTCGCGTTAGAATAGTTGTTCATGAATTCAACTTGCTTTTTATGAGCATTACTGATGACTTTAATAGGTGGTTCATAAAAAAATACTCACGATATTTAGTTATTCGCGAAACACCAACTATGAATTCATAAAATAATACTCACGAAGTCACTATATTTTGAAAATGTTACCGTTTTACACACAATTACCGGTATTTGACAATTATTTCTAGCATGAGCATATAATTATAACAATTTCATGTCGTTCAGTTTCTTCGAACGAAATACAAACATTTAAGGAATTGCTTCACTACAGCGGAATGATCATCGTAAGCTAGCACGTGAAATAAAGTTTTATTTCTGTGTTGTGTTTGATTGTTGAATGTCCTTGTATTTTTAAACTTAATAAGAATAAAAATTAATCGTTTAAAGGGCAAAAACACGCGTAAATATCCATTTTTTTAATTTAAGTTTTATATGCACAGTGCTCTCATTAAGTATTATTTGACTTTGGCAAAACTAAATATATACTTTATTATCGGATTGCAACTAATTTAGTGTATGCGTAGAACAAACAGCTTACTGTAAACCGGAGTTTATTTTTGTTATAATGATTATTTGTAAATATTGTAACTTGAGGTCGATGTTTGAAATGGAATTTGATTGAAACACATTTTAATTAGTTACGCAATTTCATTCATGAAAATATTATGAGATTTTGTTCTCGGTATAACAGTTAGTATACTGTCGGATATATCGCACAGAGATGATTATAATATTCTAAACCCAATGGGCCGAAGTAATTGATTTGAATGTTGCGAAAAACGAAAATGATAGTAAATCAAGTCTGTAATTGATTTACATGCGACGGTTTAAAATACGTTTAACCAATAAGACACTATAACTTCAAATACCCGTACAAGGTGTATTTGAAAGTATGAAATTTGTTGTGAATTAAATGTTGGAAAATCAGTGCATTCTTACGGAGCTTTGTTAGATTTTACGAGAACGAATAATTTAAAAAAATAACAAAAGTAAGAAAACTAGTTTTATTATATTTTTTTCCCATATTATTGAAATTACTGAATATTGTAATTTATTCTTTATTCGAATGATTTCTTAGCTTGAATTAAACGTTCAAATACTTTAAAGATAAATGTACAATACCATATTTTAAATACAACGAAGGGAATACTCACACTGACACGCGATGACTAAAGCACGCGCTTGCATGATGACTGAGGGACGCAACATGGACGTGTAATTTTGTTGAATCAGAGACTGATGCTTGATGGAACATATACAGGCCCCTTAAAACATAACTTCTAAATCTACACGGATGAACAGCCAATGAAGTCCTATATGGATAACTTTCCGGGTTTTGCTTCAATTCTTTCGATTTTTAACGGAAAAAAATCTTGTATTTTTCAGATGTAGTTAAAAATGGGAAGAGGTGATAAAACTAGTATCGTGTATATATGGATTCTTTTAGTTAACATCGTTCAAAAAGGTAAGTTTATATTTTTATTGACAGGAGGAAAGGTGATAAAAATATTATTTTACAAAGGTGAAGCTATGATAAAAATGTTACTTATAAAAGAAAAAATGTGATAAAATGCTACTTTATAAAGGAGAAAATGTGATAAAATTTTACTATATCAATTTGAAATATAAATTTTCGTTGATAATATATGGGGATATTGCAATATCATTTTGTCATATTTCATATTGCCATCATTTCGCATGAAACCTCGGTTACATATATAAAAAGTAACAAACTTGATTTCTTCAAGGGATTAACTACATATTTTTGGTATAATAACTTATTTTAAAGAACCAACCAACCCCCCCCCCCCCAAAAAAAAAAAGAAAAAAAAATCGTAAATTTCATTTAATTCATGTGATAAAGTACATAGGAAAATGATAAGTTAGAACTGGTACTATTTTGTAGAAATAATTAATGCGATTTGACTCGGACTTATTTTACAATCACAGTAGGCATACTTTATGTTATTAATAAACAAACCTTCATTTGTTCAAACATTATTAACCGTGAAAATAAACCAATATTAATTTACTGACTTTAACAATATACTTACATATACATACTTATAGTTCAATTTGGTTTATTCAATTACTTAGTTACTCACGCGATATGATGAAAATTTGAATGGTTGATGTTACTTCGACAGTTCATCACATCGCAAGAGACTTGGTTAAGATGTCAGTTTAAATGTCAGCGCTCAAACAATGCCTTGTTTCATACTATAAAATGCAATTCTGCTACCCGATACACTTAATACACGTTGAGCATGCGCTGTAATAATTATCTCCTTATTCTGAAATCCATATCGTTAAATGACCCTATCGTAAAGTATAGTATTTACAATACAAGTTCATTCTGTAGCGTAATTGTTTTTGACCAAGCAGTACAAAACATAACATAAACCTTTGAATAGTTAATGATATCCTATATTTTTCTTTTTCAATTGATTTGAGATAGAATCTCTACAAAAGTATGAAAACGATTATATACCTTTTGAAAGGGTCAATTATACCAGTGATAAGGAGTACGTAAGGTACAAAAGACACACCACGCCTTTATAATATCAATTTTCTATATCAGATAGTTTTGTAGATATTATTATGTTTGCAAAGAATGTTGTCAAAACCGTTTAATAGAATCATAAAAAACGACAATCATGCGCATTTGTCTGAAACCAAATATAATTCGGATGAGATAATTAACATATCTTTGGGTTCATCATTAGTTATTCTTGAAATAGTGTCATCAAAGGGTTGTGGTTGCTAACTATTACCCGTGTTAATAATCTTTCTTAAATAGCTGTCTCGATCAAATAAAAGGGGATTTTTACTAAACAATTTTGTTACAAATGATTAAAGTAAAACAGAATATGACCGAGTTTTGTTAAATTGATTTTTAATTACTTATGCATGTTTATGGTTACTAAGTATGTAGACAAAAGAGATTGAAAACAGAACAGATATACATATTTTTTTTAAAAGAAAATAAAAGATCATATGAACAAATATTGTATGTTTTAGAGCACAATGACCCGAAGTTTTACATGATTCTAAAACTAACTCGAACTCATGACATCGCCCACATCACTGCATTGTGTGGTTCAAACCACATCTGTAATGATATTCTTTTAATCATATTGAACAAAAAGAAAAAGAAAAATATATAAAAATAAATACATGAATCATATTGTAGATTTCCACCTCTTCATACATTCATCATGAATTAAATTGTTATTCTGTGTACATTGTTTAAAAAATGACATAACAGTACTACTTAAGCTACTTAAAATAACAAAGTTTCGAACTTTCAATGACCACTTAATGATATAATATAAAGGGCGTCGAATGTATGACTTTTATGGGAGGGTCGAGGATACAGAGCTTCATGATAATTTCTTACAGAGTGTCTTTTTTTTTGCAGACCATCACTTTGAATAACGTTTTTATATGGAAGCATAAACCTGCCCTTTTTACTTGTGTCTTATGACTTTTGACTAGTGACTTGTGACTTATGACTTTTGACTTGTGACTTTTGACTTGTCTGTTGAACATGATAATTCGGCGCATTTTTGAATGAAATATGGCAGACAACGAGTTTTTACAGATTATTTTTGTTCATTGAATTGTATCAATTAATTTTAATATAATTCACGTTTTAAGTACTTTTCTCGATTTGTTATAGATTGCGTTTGTTTTATTTTAATGTGGTGACAGTGCGTCTGATCATCTTTCCTATAAAGAGTCTAACCTTTAGTTAACTATTGCTAAACAGATTCAGATTAATGTAAACTACTAGATTTCTTCACAATGTGCATTCCAAGTTTATAGATATTCATGTAATTAAGCTTTGGGTGTGTAGTTTTTTCTTCAAACGTACACACTGCATACAACTTATTTAAAACAACGTTTATCTTACATGTAGTAACAAGCTTATGCTATGCACCGTAATTTAATTTGTTATCGTTGTTGTTTGTCATTGTTTGATCATCGTATATGTAGTTTAATAATAATTGAACAACTTTTGGATTTTATGTTGAAAGTGATATTAAGTAAATATCAGCAAAATCTTAGTAAAGAGGAGAGACAATGGTATATGTCCTTATTTTGGAAAGAAGGGAGGTGTAGTTGTATGGGTCGTTGTAAGGTCCAATAAAACGAGGGTAGTTCGAAAAGTGTTGTAACTTTACTTTTTTATGGAAAACTATTAGAGAATGAGATGTTATATAAAGTTTTATTGCATTTGCTAGTCATTTATCTTCGTGCTTTACAACCATATAATAATGCGAAAATCTATGCACGATGCATATCAGCAATTCATAACAGTAGTGGGTATGGTTTATATACTGGGCAAAAAATCGAATGGTTATCTGCAAGATTTAAGAAAGAAAAAAATACGTAGTCTTCAACAGAAAGAACATTCTTTAATGTGCAAAACAAATCTTTATAATATCTTTATTGGTTTTCCAGAAAAAGGTCATGTGGCAATAATTTTCGAACATCCCTTGCTTTGTTTATGTGTTCCTTCTATAGTTTAAAAAAATGAAACAATTAGCTTCAGAAATAAAAGTGAAATCTTTGAGGTCTTTTTCTTTGCAACCAAAAACACCTTTGCATGTACCTCATTGAGGAAAATGCATGCCATTGATAGACATACTACTGCCCATGATGCTGTGCCAACATGACACAAAAATGCACCCCAATTTGACAATCCATGAATTGGCCTCTGAGACCTTTGCCATAGAAAGAGGGACTTGGGCGTGCAGCACAATTTCTATTTATATTGTAAATTTGGCTAGGCTATTTGAACATCCCATCATCATTTACTCCTTAAACAAAATGTTATACAAATGTTTGACCTCTAAGTGTGACATTGACCTTGAAGCGAGGAATTTGTGTGATGTCAAAACATCTGGTAGAAGTGAACATTTTTGCCAGGTTATATGAAAATCCAATCATCAGTGAATGACTTATATTCGAGACACGAAACATTACACCACAATTTGACCTTTGACATTGACATTGACCCATTGACCTTGGACCTTCAAACTTTATATGTAAATGCACCCTCATGAGTTCTACATACCACATCCATTATTCTGTTAATGGTTAAAAGGTCAAGGTAACGATGACCAACAAGTGCAAAGACTTTAAATGGTCATATAATCTCAGTGCTTTGACCTTATAATTGACAAACTTTCTAATATATATACATGTACACACTTTGGTTCGGTACTGTGACACTGACCATTGAATTTGTTACTTTAAAATGTGTGTGGCAGGCATAACTTTCCATGTCGCATCATCATCTGCTGTTTGAATATTGTTGATGTGTTTGAAAACAATTTAAAGAGACTAGAGATACGTTGTACTTTTGTTAATGAGACAGGAGCAGGCACGGGCGAACTTTGTTCTGGACATACATTTATAATTAAACTTGTCAGTTGACCTAAAGTTCTCGTCATGTTGTAAGATAAACTTCAATTTGGATTGGGACTTGTCTGTCAAATTTGGTCGGACACATTGATTGATGGATTTCAAATTACATGTATATATTTTTAAACAGATTACATCAACAATCTTAAAACAGCATACGTGGGTGCGCCATGGTAATAAAATCTCGAAACAAAGTGATACCTCGGAATAAGCCATATCTGCAATTCTCATATTTTTATATGCAAAACACAAATGTCATTAACTGTTCCAGTTTTGAGTTTCTTGTGATTAATCCAAAACACCAAGCTTATTATTGTCATGATTGAAATATTTATTGCGAATACATGTACAAGTGTATATATAGGTACGCTATTACTATGACGTTTAGCAATTTTATTGAATTTGAGGTGCGAACATTAACAAAAGTTGTATACATGGTATATATCAACATAAGAATAATATCATAATTGATCAAAAAAGAAAAGAAATCACTGTCGATTATCAATGAGGATAGTCTATTAATGTTCAACAGAAAAAGGCCGTCTCTGTTTATCTTCCTAGCCTTGTAGGAGTATCGGTTTCTCCACTGGATGGCAGATCGCTCGGTGCAGATATCTGCGGCACCACTGAGTGCGATATAGCGGTAGTTACCGGAATAGGTCTATGTACATTAATTGGAGAGATTTTGAAATAATTTGGCACAAACGTTCACCATCGTAAGAAGATGTACCCGGTATGCAGACATATCTTTAACCTTTAATGATAAAGGTCAATGTATGTCAAGTATGGGTCAACACCAAATGTTGACATTTCAGACGAAGGCTGCTTTTGTCCAAATGAAATTTTGTTAAAACATCAAGGCTTTGGTTTAAATAATAAAGAAGATATAACAGATTAGTTATAACCTGTCCAGGTGACCTTGACCTTCAACTCAGGAATGCGGCTGTATATAGCAACGCCTCGTCTCGTGATGGTGGACATTTGTGCCAAGTTATTTCAAAACCCACTCATTCATATAGAAGTGGACGTTTAACCTCTAAGTGTAACTTTGACCTTCATTGCGGAAATGTGTCTTATACTGGGACACATCTTATGATGGTGAACATTTGTGCTAAATTATTTCAAAATCCTCCATCCATGTAGAAAGAACAAAGCGGTGACGAACTATTTCAATCCAGTTTGACAGTGTTGTGGAGACATAATTACATACATTTGTAGTAGCAATTTATATATTAAAAGCTGTGTAATCGTGTTGCATTGTCGTTTTAGTCACAGGTTGTCTGCTAACCATACCAATTCATTGAGCTCGAAAAACAATTGCAATGCCGTTTCAGCGTCACGTGCCATTTGTAAATCCGGTTTCAAGAGTTGAGCCAATTCTTTAAAATCTTTATTTCTGTTCTTCGGAATGGAATACATCCGTTAACAACAAATTACGTCTTGTATACCGAAATCTTGACTATCAAATAGTTCTGGTAAATAGAACATTACGTTTCCATAATTGAGCTCGTTATTCTTTTGGGGTCTAATAGCGTGAGTATTCCAGTTTTGAGCAATTCGATCAAGGTGTGTTTAAATTAGATCCATGAAGCAAAATTTCAGATGAACAGAATGGACTGGGTCGAGTTGATCATATCGTCAAGAATCACGCAAGTCTTTAAAAAAGCTGAGCCACCACTGTAAATCATGTTGTCGTAAAGAGACCAACCAACGTTCAACTCGCTGATTGGAAGTACTTTTACCAATTATAACACTTCTGTGTTTTGCAAAAGCGTCAATTGCATTGTACCGAAAGAACTGTTGTAAAAGGCATACATCAGAGTTTTCTGTTCTAGCATCACAACGTATGATCCGAAGTGCCTTTTCAATTGACTTCAGGGAATTTAAAAAAATACTTTTAAATGAGGTATGGATTATTGTTTGTATCCGATACCTCTAGCCAGATCAGTTTTCTACTTAATTAATCTATCAATAATACCATGGATACAAAATCTAAAGGGTTTTGACTTGCAATAACCATCTAAATGCCAAATATATTTGGGACCTTTCGCACAATTAACACGCCTTTTGAGACGATGGGTTTTCCTCAGATCAGATGAGTGCCCTCAGGATCTAAAATCTTCATTACCCCCATAACTTCCTGATGAGTTGTCTACACATTATGATTAATTTGAAGCCGTTGCCACAAAAACCCATAACCCATAGTTTGTCCACAAGTATTCAGCTATCAATAACTGTAGGGCTGTAATCCCCGACGTTTTAGGTTAAACTTCTTTAGGAAATCTCTATAATTGCCGCATTGACAACAAAATCTCTTGTCAATTTAATAAAAATCCTAGAATCTCGGTGTATTTGAAACCAAGTTTGAAATATTCAATAATAAGTTAGGACCTCTGATTTAAAGTTTTCTTTGGCAAATAGGTTGGTACAACACACATCACCACATAAAAAAGTGCCAAAATCATTAATATTATTAGCCCAATCTTCATTTTTATTTCTGTTCATCTATATCAGTATCTGTCAGTATCTGTAAAGTATATAAAAATAGTGTTAACAATCAGGATAATAAGTGCAAATAACAACAATATATCTGGTACTATATGTTCTAGCATAGTGTAAAGAAAAATCTAACATGAATTGTTCATGATTTTTTGTTTGTTTCAATCTTTAACTCGCATGTCAATGGTTTGCTTTGGATAATACATAACATAATTTATTTAAGTATGATAGTGCATAAAGGTTGGAGCTAACAGACACTCTCTAGAATCTCTTATAGGAAGGTCAGCAATGGTTGTTTAGTTTATTTGCCCAGTGAAGCACCAGCTAGCACAAACCTAGCAGGGTTTAAATCACAAGTCAAATGTGTGAACCACTCAGTCTGCCTGCTACCCTGAGCGACACTATGCTAGCAAATTGATTAATGTGAATATATATTTTGAAATTAAACAATCCATCAACCCTGAATGTATCAGATACTATCTTTATTTACAGGATATTAACAGCTTCCACAACCGTCATTAAAACAATAAATTTTAAGGGAATCTACACATGAGAGAGGTTTGTATAACACTTACATTTTGAATAAGACAGAACAACTGTCGACAATACGAGATGCTCAGGAGCCTTCAAGTCGCAGCTAATCCAGATGATAAAATACGATTTTAGAAGAGACTGTGTTATAAAACGCCTCAATTAAATGGGAAAAATGTTCTAGAATATTTTAGCGTTTTCGTCTGCCATATTTCATTCGAAAACGCGCCGATTTATGTCAGACAGGTAAGTCACAAATCAGAAGTCAAAAGTCACAAGTCATAAGTCGCAAGTCATAAGACACAAGTTAAAAGGGCAGGTTTATGCTTCCATATTTTTATGACACATAATGATTTAAGATTGACTATTGTTCTATCTGCTAAAACTTACATTTGTCAGTATGGTATAGGCATTAATGGATTTGATTTCAAATTGTAAGATATAATTTCTTTGGAAGTTTTGTTACTATAACGTATTTGTATTTAAATTGTAGCAACATGTTTATATGTTTGACATTAATACAATCTTGTTTCGAACAATGATTTGCAACTGTTAATTTCTGATATGTTTGAAGTTATTGTTAATGATACTTTATAATTCTTTTTATAATAGCTATTTTATTTCCCTTTTAAAAATCGGTCTGAATTTAAAACGCAGTGCATTAAAGTTTATGTTGAAATACACTGTGGCCTCTATTTAAATATATCATATTTATGTTATGGATAAAGATTACAGACTGTTTACGTAAACGAAAAATTTGATTTAATTGAAACATTTGTAACTTGTGTAGACAATGAGTAAATGGTCATAATTTTCAAGTGAAAGGTAAACATTTTTTCAAATAAAAATATTTACTCCTTCAAGTATGGTCATTTTCAAAATATGTCGGAAGAATAAAGTGCCACAGCTTTTAAATCATATAACTGCGATAATGCAAATATCCGAAAATTATTATAAGATCCCATTCAACGGTTTAATGACGTTGTAAAAGGAAACACATGGCGAATTTCATTCTTTCTGTGAAATATTTGTTGCAAATCCTTTATTTCATTCGGGTCAAATTTGACCATATCCGAAAACAAGTGCACGTATTCTGCCTTAAGGTTTCTATAGTTCTACTTGATCAGTTTTGTCAAAATAATTAACTTATATAATTATTAGTTATGATTATAATTAGTTATAGTTATAATTAACTATATATTTGATCGCAAGCCGCATGGGTTCAAACCCAGTCAGGGGCAAGTTGTTGTTTCCTTGAGCAAGAAACTTTACACTCATTGCATAGTACTGGTTAGTTCCATATAGCATATAGCTTCCTACACAATCGAACTAAAATAAATTATGTATAAACCAAAATCATTAAGCTAAAGTAGGCTCTATATATTAGAGAGATACTCTTTTTGCATTTCATATACAATATCGAACACATCGAATAGGCATTCATTAAACAATCTTATATTTCTTTTTTATCTTATCTTTTTTGTAAGTGAATGTAACGCTCAATTCATTACAGTATAAGCATATTGCATATCAATTACAAGTAAAACATATGATTGTCGATTATTTGAATATTAACTTATATTACATCGCCAAAGTTATTTTTTCCCTTATATTTAAAGTGAACATGTAATCTTATTTCAGCGTTCTGTCAGTGCAGCGGCTCACCTTTAACAGTCTCCGCCAGTGAAGAACCTGCGAAGTTTATATCCCCTGGTTACCCTACGTCTTATACAAAGTAAAAATTTATTTAAATAATTGTGTCCGTTAATATTGTTTATATAGGTTAACACAAACATTTCTATAATTCAAACTGATGGAGCAATGAATGCATATATAATACAAAATAATTAAATAATATTTAATTAATTAATTAAATTATTAAAGCTATGACATTTCACTTCGAATGTTTCATCTTCGATACTTATGCATGTATGTATTAATTTATAAACCTTTTACTGATCTATCACTTATATTTGAAATCATATGTTTATGTACATTACATGTTTTGAATTTCTTAAAAATGTTTTTATGATGTCTGTGAAAACCGAACATATAAATGTGTATACTGATGATAATTGATGATTATTGTAGGATTTAGTGTTATTGTTTTATAAAGGTCAAGTTATTAGTTCACTGTCTTACATAATGCTAGTTTCTAAGTAAACTTACCGTTATTCTTATTTAATTGCTTATAATAAAAGTAATTTATTATCTGTATATTTGGAATGCATGATTTATATTTAATTTAAGTTAATGTTTTTAACACATATGGAGTTTTACTTTCAAATTTATCTATTTTTCTTTATTCCATCTTTAAATAGCGTCTGGCTATAACCATACAAACTATTTGTTTAATGAAAAAAAGGCCTTCATGTAATAAGTCTCTAATCCCGATTTCCATATTGGCTATACATATCAAGAATAAGTTTATGCAATTGTTTTAAATCTAGCCAGCGTTTTGAAGACTTTTTTATTTGAACATATTGAGAAGGGATGATTCTTCAAGAGCAATGAAAACACAAATTTAAAAAGTACTCGGTTTGATTGAGTCTGTTCAAGAGATATAAGATGCAACATCTCCTCTAACGCCCCCCCCCCCTGCACCGCCTTGACCGAATACCAAGAAAAAACAGCACATCATAGATGATAAATTTGTTTAAAACTGATACAATAGCTGCTAAGGAAAAACATTCTTAAAGTGTAAATATACCACCAAACATATAGTAAATATAGACCAAGTTAATACTAAACACATACAATTTGTCATTCTTGTCTAGTATATTTTAGTAAAGTTGCAATCATTTTTTTTTATCTTACATTTAAATGTATACTTACAGATCTACACCTCTTCTCTAATATATTCTTGTTTGTATCGTTAGTATGTGTTTACACCAGGAAAAAAGAAATAGGTCTCAAAAATAAGTAGAAACCCCTTTACACATATTTACCCTTTATTAATAAAGTCTTGCACATTGAAAATTTTTCGTAGTAAAATGAAAACTGCGATTTTTAAAAACAGCTCATAAACCGTAGTTTCTTTTTTGTAAAATAATCAACAGAAATTCATTGTTTTGAATTTGTCTGAAAATACAAAGATGTCTATCAATAGAAATACATACATGTATATAGCAAAATTAAGATGCAATGTTTCTTTTAAAGTTGCATGCCATCATATGAACCAAACTATTTCATTAAAAATTAAACCTTAGAAAAATTAACTGAGATTTCAGCAAAAGTGAAATGGTGAAAGCTACAATTTATATGCAATCAATGACTGATTATGCAATGTTTATCATCATATTTTACTGCGTGACTACTAAGTAAGGACTATTTTTGTCCTCTTTTTGGTACATGTATTTTACGTGCATTTTAAGTTCCGTCAGCAATGCGTAACTTTATTTGTCTTGTTCTCTTCACAATATATTGTATTTTATTTTTAATTACATTTTCATTGTTTGTTCATAAAAAGAAGGCGTCCTGCTTAAAGAGATGATAATACAAACATTATATAAAATATGTACATTATATATACTTACAGTGACTTGACCTGTCAATGGTTGATAGACTCAGGGGTGGCTGGACAAAAGATCATCTTGTACTCGGATAACATTAATGTTGATTGTGCATTCGGAGATATCATTAACATTTATGATGGTATTATTGAAGTTTCTTTTGTAGATAAAACTTTACCCTTAACAAGTGTCAGTATTAAGAATAATTGAATAAACAAAATTTATTTGACATATCTGTTATATACAAGCGTCATTGTCCTTTTCTTTCATTTATGAATTCTAAATGAGAAAAATAAGTAAATTAGTAAATGAACAGTAAACTCCGCATATAACGAATTTTAGGAGACCGTCAAATTTACATCGGCAGATATCGTTATATTCGAGAGGCAACCAATTTGAGAACGCGACAACAGCGTTGTTATAAGCGGTCAATCGTTATGTAAAATATGAATACATGATTTTTTTTTTATTTTAAATTTGTGTTTGATCTTATTGCTTGCTTTCTTGTTTATTGGTGTCTTTTTCTGTTTGGTAAAGGTTCAAGTACGTCAGATACTACCTTGCACACAAATTTATGTGGGACAACATTAAAAAGCAATGAATATATCTCCAGTGGAAGATATGTATTGGTTGAATTTACATCGGATTCTGCAACAGTAGGTCCTGGGTTCGAAATGACATACCTTTCAGCTGCGGACACATGTAAGAGTTTGTCTTTGTAAAATGTAAAGCTATGTATTCAGCTCGATTCTGTTTGTGGTCGTAACCATGGCAAAATGTTACTTTTTTGTTAATAGATACAGGTTGTATCAAAACCAATCAATAACTAATTTGTTACGGTAAAACGCAATAAGTTTTAATGAAATTGGAACTTAAGTTTATTGAACAGCACAATCAAATATATAAAAAGTCCGATTGTTGTTAGTGATATGGGTACAAGATAGTGTTGATCATTTATATGTTTTATATTCTTCTTATAATAGTAAAAGCAAGGGAAATATTTGATATAATTTAACAAAAGACAAAGTTTTCACGAGTGTATGTATCTACAAGTTATGCTGCGACATATCTCAATGTGAATAAAAAATTCTCTTTCAAAGAATGATTGTTTAAAGATATATAATGCTCAAATTTGAAACTTGAAAATATTAATTATTGCTTTAAAGTCACTTTTAAAATATAAAATAAACATCTTTTGTGTGCACAAAGAGAAGAAGTGTTACGTTTTAAACGTAATTTCGTTTAAAAAACTGACATTTTTATTTAAGAAAAGATCAAATTAGTTGACCAGCAATAGGGAATGCAACTTGCCAAACATAGTCTGTGCATTCTCATATTCAAATTAGACATATTCAGTAAGAATTTTCCAGATTTAAATAAATTTCTGCGATAGAAGTATTTGCTCAAAGAGGAGCATAGAATATCTTTAAGATATAAGAAAACACACATACACCATTGCATGTAGAGTGGTTTTTAAGAAGATATTTTTCGTTTCAGCGGGCACTGGCTGCTCTTCAGAATACACTTTAACAGCATCAACAACATCGCAATATCTTACCTCACAAAGTTTTCCAGCATTGTATGCCGGGTAGGTAGAAAAAGTTCCCAAGTAAATGCACTTTCAAAAGTTGTAACATTTTTGTTGGATTATAAGTCGAATCGACAAAGAAATGGATATACAAATGTATAGCGAAAGACGTAATCCGTTGTTTATTAATTCAGACGCAAGCATCCATCAACCTTCCATAATTAACTGTTTGGAAGGCTTCCTAAAACTGAAAAGACCAAACTTTACTGGTTGAGGTTCAAACATAAAATTGGGGTGACGGGAACTAAGTCGAAGTCGTTGACCTTAACCACTGAACTAAAGTTCTAAAATTTACCATAAACTATGCAGGATTTGTTCGATATATCTACTGGTCACCGTGCCATAAGATGTTGTCCATTTAAAAAACATTTTTCTTTTAAATCATGTTTTTATAGGTGTTTCATGATGATTATACCATAATCATGTTAACGATTAATTCTTTTAATATTTGACGCATTTCTGTCACGATTTTGATATGTACTGACACACTCAAAGGTACAAATGGAATTAAACGTTATATTTTAAATAGTATTTTAAAAATGTTAACTTCTTTTGCATTCACCAGCTGAATAAATGCTTTATGCAAACTTAGCAACACGACAACACGACAACCATTGATTTTCTTGTTTTCTATCATAGGTCGAGTTCATGTCGATGGCTACTAACTGCATCAAACACCCAGGCTACCATAGATTTTCAAGTTGTTTGGAGTGACGTTGAGACAGATGCTAATTGTGCATATGACAAACTTGTAATTTATGATGGTAATTTATATATATATTACAATACTATTTGAAAACAAGTGTTCAATATGTGCTAATTTCAAAACAAATAGTAATAAATATTTCGAATAAGTCCTCTTAATTTGTATATGTTCCCAGGAACCTGACTTTGATTATAATCCGAAACATTTTGTGGTTTAATATTCTTTGAAATTTAGTACACTTGCATATTACATTTGCGTTAATGCATAATTAGAATATGGAATCAATGAAGCTTGAATCTTTTTGGTTTCATTAAGGAGTCTAACAAACTCAGTTTTAGTTGTGTAGTGAAAGAAGAAAACATTTGAGACGCGTCATGACAAAACCAACATAATGGGTTTGCGACCAGCATGGATCCAGACCAGCCTGCGCATCCGCGCAGTCTGATCAGGATCCATGCTGTTCGCTTACCAACTCTAAAACAAGTGGAGAAACTGACAGTGAACAACATGGATCCTGATCAGACTGCGCGGATGCGCAGGCTGGTCTGGATCCATGCTGGTCGCAAACCCATTATGTTGGTTTTGTCGTGACGCGGCTCATTTTATTTTCAGACAATCAGGTTTAACATTATCAAATCCCTTTATACCATTTATACAAAGATCTCAACATTTCAGGGAGATATGTTTGCGAAAACAAAGTGTTGCTGACTGATTGCTCCGCACGCACGAGCGCAGACGATACGCCCACTGTGTTTACGTCATCATCATACCACGTGCTGGTCACGTTCTCATCAGATCAATCATTTAATAGATATGGTTTTGTTATAAAATTCACTGAAAACCAAGTTAACACTACAACAACAACCACTGTCACACAGGCTTCTACAACACAAGGAAGTTCAGGCCAGGCTGTGAGAACAGAAACAATTATAAGTAAGTCTTCTTACTTCAAATATGAGAGTTTACAACATGCTCCTTTTTCATTATAATGCTTTTTTTCTCACAGTGAAATGTTATGTTCTCTTAAAAGCAAACATTTCATAAATTCAAGATAATGTACATATTTACGCGAAACAGTTTTTACTTCAAATGTAGACAAAGATATATGTAATACTAAGCAAAATTCTTAGTTTATACGGTTATACTTGTGTTACGCAAAATTTTATATAATGTTAGTCAATCACTTTTAATCCACACCCGTCTTCTTAAATTAACAAAACCAAGCTTAAAAGATAATCGAAACGTTTAAATGAAAATTAAACACATCAACGCTATTATTTAAGAAATTTATACTTTGGTGTGTTTTAAACTTTCCTTTTCAATCCCAGAAGTACATCATTATTTGTAAACTTCTTGTTTGATTTGAAATTTAAACATTTTTGAGTTATCATAGTGAGACGTGTATTGTCATAATAAAATTGTAATGTTTTATTTCAGAAACAGAAGTTAGCATAGCTCTGATGGCAGCAAGTGCCGTTGCCGGAGCAATATCTGCACTTGGTATCGTAGCAACGATATGGGTAATCAAATACATCAAAGCCAAAAAGAAAATAAAGAAAGGTCTCATTACTGTTCATTCTATAGCACCGCTTCCAGCCAGACAAACTGTGTTCGCACCAAGGCAACCAACAAACGTTCTATCATTTGTGTGATGATTATTCAAGAATTCCTTGTCTGTTTGTTTACCACGCTTCTTTCAAAATGTGCCAAATGTTCAAGACATAACCAATGCTTACAGGCATAATGTGAACTCATAGTACTATTGCTCAAACTATTTATGTAAACATTATATGAGGCTTATAAAAGCAATATCAAAAATGATAAGAAATATTGATACATGAGTGTATATGCATAATCTATGCCTTATTGACTGCTTATTTGAGCCGCGTCACGACAAAACCAACATAGTGGGTTTGCGACTAGCATGGATCCAGAACAGCATGCGCATCCGCGCAGTCTGATCATGATCCATACTGTTCGCTTACAAACCCTATAACAAGTAGAGAAACTGAAAGCGAACAGCATGGATCCTGATCAGACTGCGCGAATGCGCAGGCTGGTCTGGATCCATGCTGGTCGAAAACCCATTATGTTGGTTTTGTCGTGACGCGGCTCATTTATTGTAAACAGTCACCTGGTAGTTTCAAGTTTATTCTTTTCAGAAAATTGAATGCTCGACGAGTATATCATGAAGTCAACGAGCCATTGGTATTATGAGTGATTTGTTATATACTGTGACAATCTGAAATTTTAGTTTAGTTAAACAACATTTTATTTCAATCAAACATATATACGCAATATAATTACAATAAAATGCTAAAAAGGATGAAGCTTTTTTAGAAATTCTCTCCTTGGAATGAAACGATTGTCATTAATGATAACATTTAAATGAGCCGCGTCACGACAAAACCATCGTAATGCGTTTGCGACCAGCATGGATCCAGACCAGCCTGCGCATCCGCGCAGTCTGATCAGGATACATGCTGTTCGCTTACCAACCCTATTACAAGTAGAGAAACTGATAGCGAACAGCATGGATCCTGATCAGACTACGCGGATGCGCGGCTCATATGTAAACAAAATGTTGTATGATTGTAATTTTTAAATTTCAATATTAAATGTACAAAATTTATCAAAATACAAAAATGATCAAAATGAAAAATAACGAAATCCATATAAACATTAAGACAATTATTTACATTAAGTGAAATTTGAAACTTTACTGTAATATTTTCAGTATTGCTTCATTCCGGGTATCAAAGTATACACAAAATTGATAGAAACATGATCTGTATTTAAGTGTAACATGTTTACTATTTGTGTTGTAATTTGGTGTTTAAAATACATTTTGTTCGGATTTTCATTGCTAGTCAAACATTACAACTTCGTTTGTGTATGGGAACTTGTCTATTGGAATACATAATGTAATAATATTATGGGTATACCTTCTGCATGTGATGTGTTTTGTAGATGTTTTAAAAAAATGAACTACGACATTTTATATTTAATGTATTTATCAAAACATGTTTTCGTGTTACATAAGCTGGTGTAAGACTTCGTATGCAGTATGCTTGTTCATTTATTGTACTCGTATGCCATTTTCTGTAAATAAACTTTTCCTCGCATTGTTTATTATTCTAAATTGATCGTTTTGTCCTTATTTCGCAAAAAAACCCAACAAATATATGTTTCGATTATGTTGCAAGTATAATTAGTTTATAATAGACATCAAATACAACTTATCAATCCTTTAATTGATGTTTACACTAGTAACTGATATACAGGAATATCTAACTAGCATAATTATATTGAGGTATAAATTGGCGCAACTTGTACAGGTGTTTGTCCTTCCTCCCGACTGACTGACTGCATTCGTTAGTGAAATCTTGTGGTCAAAATTCAATAGATAATACTTTGATGACAATATAATGTTAGCTTCATTCTTATGTTTTTAGACAATTCTTACATAGTCAAATGTTGTTTTAACAAAGCACATGTGTAAATTTTTAGCTGCTATAATAATAATAATAATAATAATAATAATAATATCTTTATTTAAAGAAGGTTACACATTAAGAACATACAATAACAATCATATATATCTTATTTCCAAAGTGGCCTTCTGAAAAAGAAAACAACAACAACAACAACAACAACAACAGGACATTCATAGGTAGAAAAATGAATGTATAATATGTAATTTTTAGAATAATACAACTCATATACTTTCGACAGGCACTCAACAATTTTTGTTTAAACATATATGTATATTGCATCATTTGTTCGTTCGTTCATTCGTTCGTTCATATATATTCAATCATTCATTCACTCACTCATTCATTCATTTGAACATCAAGATATGCTTTGTATTTTTCTTTAAAACATTTAAGGTTATTAACATTACGAATATTTAAAGGTATATTGTTCCAAATGTTCATGCCATAATAAGAAAATGTGTCTTTAATATAATTTGTTTTAGGTCTTGTCCATAATACAATATCTTTCCGTGACCTAGATCTTAAGTTATATATTTTGTTGTCGGATAAAGTCATCAGTTCTGTCATATACGTCGGTGCCATGTTATTTAAAGTTTTAAAAACAAGCACCGCCGTGTGGTATTTACATCTGTCAAGGAACGGTAACCTATAATGACCAAATGAAAGCGGTCATCTTCCTATAGTAGTTACTAGACAAACATAAGAATATATTGTCCACAATGAGCCACTTAGTTGATTATAGCCATGACATTAAACATCAAAATTGTAAAAAAAGTATAATTGGAACTAAATTAAATGTCTCTATACAGGTGCAATGCAGTCTAAATAATTGGTAGCTTATGTTTAGTCACCGTGCATATGTGATGTATGACATGTATGATCGGGTACCGAACATGTGTTTTTTGTAGGTCTTCAGACTCTAAATTATATATGAAGTTATCGATCATATTCAATGTTGTGAGATACATGTAGAAGATGAAGTATTTAGTTGTAATTCTATGAAATAAAGTATTATATGCTGTAATAATAAAAAAATCCATCTGTTTGCGGGATTTTCTTCAGCAGGATAACGAAAAATGTTAAAATAAGAGTTCATTTATTAAAAACCTATAGCCCTTCTTCCAATACTTAATTCGAATTTGGCAATGTAAATATGGGGTAAGTAGCTTAAGTTAAAAGTTAATAGTTTCAAACTACAGACAGTTACTTCCCTCATTTAATGATTATATTGTGTTTACAGATCTAAAGTAAATTGCACTCAAGAAAACTAATATAAATGAATGAAACGTTCGCTTGAAATTACACCTGTGTAATTAAAATAAATACAATCAAGACATGTAATATAATATATTGATGTTGTTTGTCATTTAGTTAATAATTTAGATGAGATGAAATCGTTTGACAACATTTGATATACATTAAATTGTTGGTAGTAATATATGATATATCCATCGGTCTATATTTATAATACCACCAGCGCTATCTTCGATTCCCGAACGTTTTTCTTTATTTGCCACACTAGACAAATATTTTACAAAAAGTCATTAATGAGGGTAGTGACAGTACTAAAAATACAAGAATGTTGTAAATATTGTATCAAATTAATATTGACCGAACATGTACCTGAGAACAAATAAAAAAATTCCTTTTTGTAAGCATATAAACACTTCGGCGCTTTTTGTGAATGGAAAAGTTACATTTGAATGGGTAAGATGTCATTCGGAATTGATGAAATATGGAAGTGTAATCAACTGTATGATTTCGACGATGATGTCTGCATCATAACCGTATTTTGTATTTAATACGATAAACTTTCAATCAATCGATCAAATTTATCTTTTGAGCTAAAGAAATGTGTCGATACATCATGATGTGAATATAACAAATCATCGAGACTTTTATATGAGCCGCGTCACGACAAAACCAACATAATGGGTTTGCGACCAGCATGGATCCAGACCAGCCTGCGCATCCGCGCAGTCTGATCAGGATCCATGCTGTTCGCTTACAAACCCTATAGCAAGTAGAGAAACTGATAGCGAACAGCATGGATCCTGATCAGACTGCGCGGATGCGCAGGCTGGTCTGGATCCATGCTGGTCGCAATCGCACTATGTTGGTTTTGTCGTGACGCGGCTCATATCTATATCAAAGATTGGCATACTTTTATATTTATTATGATGGATATGGTTAGATTTGGTAGTATTCAAAATGAGTTAATCTTCAAAGTTTATTGACACCATGATGTTACACAGTTAGGTCTATTATGGAGATGCACCAGATGCAATAATTATGGTCTGTCGAATTAAACATCGGCAGACTAGTGGGTGATTTAAACCAGTTAAACATACAGTATATGTGTTGAGGTAAGGAAATTATTTAGTGTTATTTAATATGATAATAATGTGTAAGAAATCACATGCTTTTTTAAAAAATAAACACAAAATTCGCTTTTTTGTTTGTTTTATGTTTTATTATTGTACTATGCACACAAAGACATATATTTGTTGCAACATGTTCGACAAAATCATTTTGATTTTTTTTAAATAATAAAATATACTAGTAATGCCACCTATATTTGATATAGAATGAAGGATATAAATCATATTTCACCAATAAATTCTTAATAATTATTCTTTTGGTTAGTAAATACAAATTAAACTTTGATAAAATTTTAACGAGACATCTTAATTACACATTGCCGTGTATCAATATTTGTATGTTTATTGTATGTTTAAACATACATGATAATTTCAGTGTACAAAAAGGTTAGTTTTGCCACTTTCTTCTCTTCAATCAAAATCTTATTCATAGTACATACATACTCGTCTATAAATTAAGAAATTAAATGACTTACAGAGTGTTTCCACCGAATGGCGGCATTCTCAATCAGAAATGGTATATTTAAAAGTGAAAAAAATGTTTAACTAAACAATTACTTCATCAAATAAAGGAGCAGTGGTTCAATGAAAGGTACCAATTTGATCAAGATGACCAATCATTTTTTTATTTGCACTCGTGTAAATATGTATGTATAATAGTGAATGCAAAGTTTATTAAGTTACAGTGATTTTAAGTTTGTGGCCAGATTAGAAATATTATACGTAATATAACCGATACGATAATTGCGAGAAAAAAGTTGCTTTTTATATATATTTTCAATATGTTTTATATTTTACAGAAACTATATAAAAGAACAATGATCATATAATACATGTTTCATAATAATCGGAGTAAGATGTCACGGATTAAATCAGATTAATTAGAGAAATACCAACTTCAGAGACCAAACTATGGATGTAAAATCAGCAAACAAGTCTCCGGAAATTAGGAAGCAACCAAAGCAGACAAACCAAAAAACCTTTTCTAAAGAAAGGCATACAAATCATACTCGTGTAAAGAATAATAAAAAAGCTTCAAAAGAAAGAACACCATGTGTGACCGGACAGCCTTCATTTATCAGAAGTGGGTCTACACAGACTTCACCTATCTCTGTGGATGCCGTTCCAATATCTTCTACTCCTACTGAAAATATAAACCCTGATATAAAACCTGCGACTACTGATGAATGCACATCAAGAAAACCACCAACTAAATGTATTCAACGAGAATTCACGTTTACGGGCTATGACATTATGTCCGACGGTTTGTTTATTTACTTTCTTCATTTACACATACCTTGTAGGAACATAATTGTTTTTCTTAAAAATGATTAACAAACAAGTTGAAGACTACTGAAAATCCGACGCGAAGAATTAAAATTTACAGCCATATATGCTTATTTATTGCGAAACAGCAATTTGTAGACATACAATTAAAAAAGTTTTTAAATCTGTATTTATCTATTGTTGTTTTTTTCAAAGTTGAGCCGAAAAAGGTGATTAAAGAAACTGCTTTACAGAAAAGAGATCGGGAGAATGTGCAACAGTATATTGCAGCATGCAAACAATTAGGTGTAGTACCATCTTCGTATGTTTCACGGCATATCAACGACAAAAATCTGGTTATAAAAAGTCAACCTTTGGGTCAAAAAGGAGCACGGGCACTGTGTGTTTCTCTCGTGCATAATCACATCGTGGAAAAGCTTGACCTTGAGGAGAATGATATTGGCAGTGAAGGTGCTATAAGTGTTGCCGAAATGTTGGAAGAAAATGTTAACATATCAGAAGTTGTAAGTTCCCACTGTTTATTGTTTGAACGAAATGCTTCCTCAGATTTTATAGACGTGATTTGAAAAGTTTTATGAATTTATGTCGATGTAACGTAGTTCGTTATCTTGAAACTACAACTACTAAATTACCCTAAGCTGCATAGTTCATGCATAGTCCGGAATGAAGTGACGTAAAATATGAACATTTTCCTTGATAGCGTTGACCTTGTATTTTAAATGTTTTTGGTTTGTTTTGTTTTGTTTTGATTCTTCTATTCTAATTGGTGCCATATATATCCTATATTTTTCAATTTCCATGGAATATTTTATGGATGCCCAAACTTTATTTACGTTTATATTATCCATGTCAAAGTCGGAGATGTTTTATCAAACATTTAGTAGTTATGAGTTTACATAAAATTTTATCTTAATTACTACGATTGTCATTGTTACTTTCTTTTAAAAGCAAAGTCTAAATGATTGTCATTATTACTTTTTTAAAGCAAATTACACTAATAAAATTTATTTTCTATAACAAAAAACATAAAATGATAATTATAAAAATATATCAGAACATATCTTTTTAAGCGCCTAGCTGGAAACTTAATTGGACCACGAGGGATAGAAGCTCTGTCAAACTTGCTGAAAGGCGGACGGAAACTTTATTCTCTTGACGTTTCTGGTACATGTAGTATAAGTGATGTTAAACAAAATATAATATTCCCTAATTATTTTTGAAATGTATAAAATTATATACAGTCAAGTGAGCGGTACATTTCAATGTTAAATGAACATTATTCATTTATATACAAAAATGTACATATACTTCCTTACTTATGTATTTCAATAAAAATCACAAAAGAGAAAAATTATCTTATAATGTACTTATTCATTTTGACAAAATCACGCAAAGATAAACTATCTTATGAATTATTGAACATATCTTTTTTGAATAAAATCAATCATCTTTATCGAACTTTAGGAAGTGGGATAGACGATAACAACGCGAAAGTCCTAGCTGATTTGATAGAAGTAAGTATTGTTTTCATAACATTTGAACGGTAATCTTGGAATGAAAATGTTGAAATATATCTTTTGGTTTATATTTTCTATCTTTATTGATTATACATTGTTTACTTTTAAACGACTGTAAGCTTAATGTGGCATTATTACTGTCTACAGAAAGGCGGCTCACTGAAAGAACTAAATATCAGTCATAATGGAGCAAGTGAAACCGGTGCTATCGATATTGGACGTGCAATAGGTAAATTTTCAAAAGGAAAATCCACATGATACACTGTATATTTAATATATTTATAGTACATGTAGTTTAAAAACCTGACAGCAATCATTCTTGACAAGTCTTTTTAGTGATCTTTTACAATGTGTGTTTGCTTTGTTGGGTTATGTCACACCAACACCGTAAATGTCATAATTTTGCGACTCTCTAGCTTTACTGGTGGCGGGAGACATCTGGTGACCCTCTGTCCATTTTTTCGAAACCAGTGGGCATCTGAGTAGAACCACCGACGTTCCGTAAGCTAGTTGGATAAACTAATACCTATCTTCATGAAAAATTAGAATAAATGTAAACAATCTATGTACACTGTACACTTACTTCTTGAAGTCTCCAATATTTCAGAACACATTTCTTATCAATGAAAATTTAATTGGATATCAAGTTAATTTATCAATATAAATATGTATGTTAAGTACATTTATCTGTACGTGTATCTGTTATAATTATGATTTAAAGTAATTGTGCAGAATACTAATTTTCTACTGTAATCAGCAAGGAATGACACCTTGGAAGACCTGGACATGAGCTGGAATCATATCAGAGGAAAGGGTGCATTCGCCATTTCTCTTGGCATTAAGGTAAAGAACATCTTCATTTGTATGTGATTTTATTTTTAAATACCAAAGCTTTCCAAGTCTTTTTCAATACTTGACCAAAACGAAAGGGTATAAGTGTAAAATATACCTATCACTCCATAGGAATGTTTGATAATATTACAAATTTTAATGAATATCAACTCCTTCTATATCTCAAAAAAGCTCTTAATATTAATGTAATTTTCAATCATCCCTTTGTTTTAGAAAAACGTGGTCTTTTTCTTAAAATTTGCATGGAAAGGTTTTTGCAAAAAACTGGGGGCCCAAACCCGGGAAAACTTAGTATAACGAAATTTGGAAATTTGGGCATCTCAAAAAACCCATAGGGATAGATTGGGGTGAAGTGTCTTAGTCAAGGCCCGCAAAAAAAGAAGGATTAACGAAAATTTAAAATAAATTTAAAAAATGAAAAAATTAGTAAAGAAAACAAGTGATTTTATTTAAAAAAGTAAATTGTTTTCCGTTAAAAGCATTTGAAATTTTTTTTTTCGATGGGGGTTGATTGAAAAGTTAAAAATTTTTACTTTTTTTTAATCCCCGGGAGCAAAGACTAAAAAATTTAAAAAGATAAATTTTGTTTTTTAAAATGAAATTTTCCAAAAATTTGTTGTTAAATAAATTTGAAACAAAAAGTTGGGTTAAATTTGGCTAATTTTTTTAAAAAAAAATTGTTTTTCAGTAAATTAAAAATTTTTGAGAAAAGCAACCCTTAAAGTTAACCAAAGGGTATTGATAAATTTTTTCGTTTTTGAACCCAAGGGGGGAGAACCTTTCTCTCCGGGGTAGCATTTACAATACTGGGGAGCAATAGAGAGTCAGAGAAAAGGGGTATTAACTATGGGTGGTAATTTTCCCTAAGTTAGAAAAATACAATATTTACACATCAAGTATATGTTTTAAAAAATCTAAAGGTGAAATCAAAAAAAAGGCCCCAAAGTGGGGTTAAAACCAAAAATAAAAACCCTTCAAATATTTTTTAAAGGGGGTTTTAAATGAAAAAATAAAGCAAAAAAATTTAAAATAATTTTAAAAAAATTATATTGTATTGCAGTTTTTCCCTTCGCTTTTTATTACATTTGTGTACATGTTGTTGCACACATTAATTTACATTTATCGCAAACTTTTACTTAAACGTTGTCGCACACTTTTAGTTACAATACATTTTATAGCACACTTTTTGTAACTTATAAGTTTGAATTTTAAGGACATCGTTGTACGACCAGAATTTCTTGACAAATGGGACGAAATTAAGCGGAATCGGGCATTACCACTGCGGATTATGTTTGGTCCGGTGATGCAGGCCAAGGCTGCACCAGAAAAGGAAGACGAAGTGATTGACTGGAGAGACCCTGTTATGCGCATGTTTAAATTTATGCATGATAAAGGTTATCGGGTTATTGACTTGTTGAAACGACTAGACAAAGATAGGAGTATGAGTGTTGACAGGCAAGAATTCAAGATAGGACTTGTGGTAACATTGTCTAACAATTTTTTCCCTGATCAATTTTGAATAAGATAAAAAATATATTCAATTCATTTCTTAAATCAGGTAAATGTACATGCATATAAGGCAAATGTTTGCATGAAGTTATAAAGATAAAAAGTGATGTTTTGCGATTTTCTGTTAAATGTTTTTAATAAAAAAAAACTTCTCAAAAGAAGAACAAAAATCTTAAAATTGAATATACTATTATAGCGCATGACTATTCTAGTAATACGCATGGGGAAAAGTTCCATATATACGGTCACTGTGTTTATTTTGACAAATTTTACAAATTGTTATATCAATACAGGCTGAAAATATACCTATGACTGAGCACCAGTTAGACCAGGTTGTGACACGTCTAGATACAGACAAGGATGGGGAAGTAGATATGGGGTAGGTAGCCAGAATAATCGTTGTCATCTTAAACTGAGGTCATATTCTAAATTCAAATATTCAGCCTTTTTATATGAATAGACGTATGCAGTGATATATTGTTATCCTCTTTATATGATACGTATAGTTTATGCTGTCTTAGTCCCTGCAATTGTTAACATTTCCACTTTTATAAGACTGATTTATGAAGCTTAATTGACTAAAGAGAACTTTGTAAAATCAACAACTATTCTTATCTTTAGAATTATGATGTGACTATAATTCATTATTTTAGCAGCTCATTTTCAACAGAGTGCAGTATGCATATTATAATAAAAATAACAGCAGAAATACATTGCAGGAAAGTATTTTTCTATAATCTATGTGTTGCAGGGAGCTCATCCGGGGTGAGAGGGACTTCCGGAAGAAGATGAAGGCTCGTATGAGGAAGATGCTGATTACAACAAAACCTGATCCTACTATGGCAAGATTGATGGAAATTGACGAAATGTGATATTTCTGAAAGTCACTTGGCTTGAATTGATTGGATCTGCATTGAAACTAAATAAAACGATATGAAGTAGATTGCTTTAAATAATGTTTAGGTGTCAGAGCTGGAATGAGTAAAGTCTCGCCTGACTTAAAAAACTAGTGACGTCAATGTGAATACATATGTAAAATATATATTGAATCGCTTGAATGTTGGCACATTATTTTCATTTTTCACGTATCTGTCATTCTGCAGTGTGTTTGAATTAGATAGAATTCAGCTTTGAATGCATTATGTTCATACCAATTCCATTAGTGATCTGTGCAGTGGAAAGGATTAACATGTAATTTATCCGGAGATTAAGAGAATGTTTAATCACATCTACATTTTTGTCATTAAAATATTTTGTAATATAATAATGAAAATAAAAATAAGATTGAGACAGTCTTCTTTAATAAATGATTATTGTGTTTAGCTTTAAAGGAGCTACACTGATGTCCAAAAGTCTAAAAAATAATAGAATTGTAAAATTCTTACATATATCACTGGCGCCATTCAAAGGAAAATTATTACACATGTATAGAAATATACTCGGAATTGATTCATAAATATATTTTTGTGTGATTCTTAGTCAGGTTTGTGTAAAACAGCGTTCAAACGCTTTTTATTTTTTGGCATTTTGAAACTTCTAAAAAGAAAAAAGATATAAATATTGTACCCAGTTTGTTGATCGACTATATCGACTCGTGATGTGATGAACGGTAGTTCCATTGCGACCACGCTACTTAATTTAATTTTCTCCAGAGGGGACCAATAATGTGACATTGGATAATTCAGTCTGTACTATGTCATGCTTTACCAAACTTTTGAGAAAATCCAACATTTGTCTATACAAATGGACTAACATCATTTTTAAAATGTGACTGGGCATTTGATTTTTTTAAAAAAGAGATAATAATATAAAAGATTTACTTTAATTAATTCAATTTACTTATTATTAATTATTGCATCTTCCTTTTAAAGTAAACATATGACTACAAAGATGAAAGTCAATCATATTTACAACATTTGCAGGCACGTGTTATTACCACGGTACCCGCGTGGACACAATATCAGCAATGAGTACAATAGTCCAAATGAGTATTGTATCCGATTCATTCTACAATATTTTTAAAGTACCAAGATTTTGTTATTTGATATGGTTGCAAAATCGAAAGAAAATAAAAAGTATATGTCCATCTACCTTTTTCGTCAAAAATGGGATATATTTCGTAATGTTGACATTTTGTAAACTTTCTCCGAAAATTGATTACTAGTTAACCTAATAAGGGCTTTAATTAAAAGAAAGGCATGCGCATTTTATGGAACAAAAGCGGAAGTGTAAAATATGGTTGAGGTGAATAGGTATAATTGAGGCTTACAAGTAAGATGAAAAGAATAGAAATTACCGTTTGGTGTTCTGAATATCATCCAAGTATCTCTTAAGATTGACCTTGTTTCAAATTGAAAAATTTAAAAGCCTAATAAAATATATCAAACGCAAAAGGTTAAATTGTCCGATAGAACATCGGAATAATTAGAAATATTATTTTCAGCACTTTACTGGATAATATTGAAAGGTTTAATTTCTAGCAAAATGTTTTAATAAATTACTTTTTATTCTCCCTTCTGTTCTAAAATTGATTCGATCCCCTTTTGATGCCATAACAATATTGGTAACTTTTGCATAGAGCTTTATAGGCCCTATTACTCTTTTTTTATTACACATTTATTTATAAGATTTATAAGATTTCAAGATTTATTCAATACTGTCATGGTTCATAAGAACATGTGACATCAAATACAATATTGTGAACATGTAACTACCGTAACGCAGACAAATTTACATTTACAGGAGAATGAGTGGCACTTATAGTTATATTGTACCCCAAAAATAAAATGAAGATACAGTATGACTAAATTTTTAATAGTAACCGAAATTTTTGCTTCATTAACAAAATTCAGGGAGACTAATGATAGGAATATTATATTTATTATTTGCATGTTTCAATTATTCCTTTGCAAAACAAAGCAAGGTAGATTTCAGGTTTCAGATTTTATTCAATACTGTCATGGTTCATAAGAACATGTGACATAAAATACAAAATTGTGAACATGTAACAACCGGAACACAGAACAAATATACATATATAAACAGAAGAAATATACATTAATACAGGAGAATGAGTGACAATTATATTGTATCCATAAAATAAAAAAAAGATATGATTAGATTCTTAATAATAACCGGAATTTATGCTTGAAAAAACAAAATTTCTTGGAGACTAATGATACAATATTATACTTATTATTTGAATGTTGTAATGATTTCTTAACAAAATAGAGTAAAGTTTTTTTTATATGTGACTTGTTTTTACTATTCATAAGATCTTCAAATGTCACTGCATTATGATACCTATAACAATACGGTTTGATAAATAGAGGATATTGAATGAGTGTAGTTAAATAGCGAGCTCGACGAGCTGGCCCGAAGGGCCTGCTCGCAAAGCGAGCTTTACGCTAACCAGTACTTGCTAGTGATGGTTTTGAAAACTTTCGTCCGAAGTACCGAATTGGACACATCGCAACCTTTCGAACTTAAAGATAACGATAAAAACTGAGGAATTCTGACTGAAAACGGATGTCTAGACTGGTCACCCGCGCACGTCTATGAGAACCATAATTGGACAAGGAACCAGAATAACAGAAGCTGTGTATAAAATATCGAACGACAGTTTTAAAACGGAAAATGTAAAATGAAAATCGAAGGCGCCATTTTGTTTGGTATATAAAAACAATTTGTTGTCGAATTTTGTTGTGAAAACTATCTAGAATGAAAGAAAATGGTCTCGTGATATAATGGTCTCGTGATATAATTCCCCGCATCCGAACTCCAAACAGTGATGTTATTGAGCAATAAAATCACAGTTTGGGATATATTATTTCGATTCCAACACGACATCAACAAATAAATGCTGCCGTACATGATAATTAGCTAAATTGCGCCTGATTTGTTTCCGTACTTATTGTCAGCGCGTCACATTTTTAGTGGTTACGTCACGTGTATAATGATTACGTCACATGTCTAAATATAGAACGTCAAACAGTGATTTTATAGCATAATAACACACACTTTCGGTTCTTCTTTGTTCAATAGGGAAAAATGCGGGTCGTGTTAGAATCAGTCGTTAACGCTGTACAGACGTTTAAAGTATTGTTTACGTGACGTCACAATGTAGCGCCAAACAGCACGTGCAAAACAAACAAATCAAGTACGCTATTTTAATGTCGCAAACCGGTGCTAGGGGGCGTGGACGGTAACTTGCACTTTCCAGTACCGTCCATGAACAGGCTCAATCAAACCGAGCCTGCAGTATTTTCAATTTTGCCGTGTTGGGCTTTCTTTAGGGATTCTGTATTTATCTATTTTAAGTTCTCAATACAGGATTGGAGCAGTACCTCTAGACGCTTGCAGAAATCATGATCACAAAATAGACAAATATCGTTTTTTTTCGCCGAATTTTACATTTTTCCATGATTATCTTACTTGATTCGGTGTGAAAATATGAATTAGACCTGTTAAAGTTCATTCCGTTGAGTAAAAAGACAATATTTTAGCATTTTATCATTCAAGCGCCTTGTCCGGTATATACCGGAATATGGTATTAAGTGTGGTGCTCCAATCCTTTTTTTAGTCACAGCCTTTAAGTTTTACATTTATTTCACTTTTAATAATCTTTATTTCGCTTGAAAAATTATAGAAAGAAATAAAATAAACAAAGTTTTATCAACGTTTTCAAAACTCGTTTTTCATTTAACGACAGGGGCGGAGCCATATTTAACACAGTACGTGTGACGTCACACGCACTCGTCACTGCATTTGAAATAAAAATGAGCGATTATTTCATACTATTTCACGTTAAAAGTACACCGAGCTCGCTTTGAGGCTTTGCCTTTTTGGCTTTTTCATATTACTAAATTTATTGAACGAGTTGAAAAAAATCTGGCGAGCATAATATTGTGTTATACAACGAGTTCAATAAATTTAGTATTGAAACTACACGAATATAATATTCTTTTTATCACATAATATAAAAAAAAGAACAATAAACTGTAAAAATGAGTCATTTTTCAACGACGCGCCTATAGTGTAACGCTAACACGTACAAGCTCTGCTTTTGTATGAAATTAATCGTGGTGGTATTTAATTTTCTTTCGGGCCATTATTTAAATTTGGGTGCTTTTCAATGACGCATGCGCAAATTCAAGTTCCTGCCTGATCGTGAATTTACATGCACAAAAACTATTCTAGGTATATTATTTTAAATACATTACATTTACAGGAGAATGAGTGGCACTTATAGTTATATTGTACCCCAAAAATAAAATGAAGATACAGTATGACTAAATTTTTAATAGTAACCGAAATTTTTGCTTCATTAACAAAATTCAGGGAGACTAATGATAGGAATATTATATTTATTATTTGCATGTTTCAATTATTCCTTTGCAAAACAAAGCAAGGTAGATTTCAGGTTTCAGATTTTATTCAATACTGTCATGGTTCATAAGAACATGTGACATAAAATACAAAATTGTGAACATGTAACAACCGGAACACAGAACAAATATACATATATAAACAGAAGAAATATACATTAATACAGGAGAATGAGTGACAATTATATTGTATCCATAAAATAAAAAAAAGATATGATTAGATTCTTAATAATAACCGGAATTTATGCTTGAAAAACAAAATTTCTTGGAGACTAATGATACAATATTATACTTATTATTTGAATGTTGTAATGATTTCTTAACAAAATAGAGTAAAGTTTTTTTTATATGTGACTTGTTTTTACTATTCATAAGATCTTCAAATGTCACTGCATTATGATACCTATAACAATACGGTTTGATAAATAGAGGATATTGAATGAGTGTAGTTAAATAGCGAGCTCGACGAGCTGGCCCGAAGGGCCTGCTCGCAAAGCGAGCTTTACGCTAACCAGTACTTGCTAGTGATGGTTTTGAAAACTTTCGTCCGAAGTACCGAATTGGACACATCGCAACCTTTCGAACTTAAAGATAACGATAAAAACTGAGGAATTCTGACTGAAAACGGATGTCTAGACTGGTCACCCGCGCACGTCTATGAGAACCATAATTGGACAAGGAACCAGAATAACAGAAGCTGTGTATAAAATATCGAACGACAGTTTTAAAACGGAAAATGTAAAATGAAAATCGAAGGCGCCATTTGTTTGGTATATAAAAACAATTTGTTGTCGAATTTTGTTGTGAAAACTATCTAGAATGAAAGAAAATGGTCTCGTGATATAATGGTCTCGTGATATAATTCCCCGCATCCGAACTCCAAACAGTGATGTTATTGAGCAATAAAATCACAGTTTGGGATATATTATTTCGATTCCAACACGACATCAACAAATAAATGCTGCCGTACATGATAATTAGCTAAATTGCGCCTGATTTGTTTCCTTACTTATTTTCAGCAAATCACATTTTTAGTGGTTACGTCACGTGTATAATGATTACGTCACATGTCTAAATATAGAACGTCAAACTGTGCATCTGTTGTATAATAACACACACTTTCTGTTCTTCTATGTTCAAGAGGGAAAAATGAGGGTCGTGTTAGAATCAGTCGTTAACGCTGTACAGACGTTTAAACTATTGTTTACGTGACGTCACAATGTAGCGCCAAACAGCACGTGCAAAACAATCAAATCAAGTACGCTATTTTAATGTCGCAAACCGGTGCTAGGGGCGTGGACGGTAACTTGCACTTTCCAGTACCGTCCATGAACAGGCTCAATCAAACCGAGCCTGCAGTATTTTCAATTTTGCCGTGTTGGGCTTTCTTTAGGGATTCTGTATTTATCTATTTTAAGTTCTCAATACAGGATTGGAGCAGTACCTCTAGACGCTTGCAGAAATCATGATCACAAAATAGACAAATATCGTTTTTTTTTCGCCGAATTTTACATTTTTCCATGATTATCTTACTTGATTCGGTGTGAAAATATGAATTAGACCTGTTAAAGTTCATTCCGTTGAGTAAAAAGACAATATTTTAGCATTTTATCATTCAAGCGCCTTGTCCGGTATATACCGGAATATGGTATTAAGTGTGGTGCTCCAATCCTTTTTTTAGTCACAGCCTTTAAGTTTTACATTTATTTCACTTTTAATAATCTTTATTTTGCTTGAAAATTATAGAAAGAAATAAAATAAAACAAAGTTTTATCAACGTTTTCAAAACTCGTTTTTCATTTAACGACAGGGGCGGAGCCATATTTAACACAGTACGTGTGACGTCACACGCACTCGTCACTGCATTTGAAATAAAAATGAGCGATTATTTCATACTATTTCACGTTAAAAGTACATCGAGCTCGCTTTGAGGCTTTGCCTTTTTGGCTTTTTCATATTACTAAATTTATTGAACGAGTTGAAAAAAATCTGGCGAGCATAATATTGTGTTATACAACGAGTTCAATAAATTTAGTATTGAAACTACACGAATATAATATTCTTTTTATCACATAATATAAAAAAAAGAACAATAAACTGTAAAAATGAGTCATTTTTCAACGACGCGCCTATAGTGTAACGCTAACACGTACAAGCTCTGCTTTTGTATGAAATTAATCGTGGTGGTATTTAATTTTATTTCGGGCTATTATTTAAATTTGTGTGCTTTTCATGACGCATGCGCAAACTAAAGTGCCTGCCTGATCGTGAATTTACTTGCACAAACACTATTCTTGGTATATTATTTTAAATACATTATTTTTTCTTTAACTTTCAGTTTTATTCAATATCATTACTATAGCTATACCGTTATACATTAACATCAAATTACTTTCCGTGGCGTATATTTTATTTTGACCATTGTTTTCATTGACAACCATGCAAATAAAGTGGGAGGGGTACAGCTTTAAAGTTGAACTTGATTTTTTTTCCAAATGGCAGATATTCTTTCCTTAATTCCTTTAAATAATTATTTTTTTTTGATAGATAAGCGATTCATTTTGAAGCATATGTTTGTATTACAGCAATAAGAACTACTAACAGGGCTCGAATTTAACACTCGCAAACTCGCAAAATGGTAGATTTCTAGTTGAAAAATGATTTTGCGAGTTAGATTTATGACTACTCGCAATTTTTTGCGAGTTGAAGAAAAAATGGACCAGCTATGCGTGCACTTGCTGTCTGGTTTACATTTTCTATACCTTAACCTTGCTTAAAAAAGTACACAAATTTAAACCAGTCAAAATGTCATTTTGTCCGTGTAAATCAAGCGTGATCGGAATAAAATGCCTAAACGAAAAATAACGCATTTCTTCCCACTTACTGAAGCAAATGTGTCTTCCGATAACAATACTCTGAGTACAGAAGATGATTCACAGTCTGTCAAAAGAAAGACAATCAGACCTTTAGTTAAAACGGTTAAAAAATGGGAGAAAGAACTGCATGTCAGTCTTATGTATGAAATCGATGACGATGAAAATTTTGCCAAAATATTTTGCGCCGATTGTTGTGCGCATAATCCAGACCAGACATCTTCGGTATGGCAACAATATTGCATTATTATTTTTTAACATGTAGATTGACATTTGATAAGAATCCCTGTCCCCTAAATCAAGTTTTTGAGTAGAAGGTTACGTTGCTGATTCGTACCCTGGGCAGTTCCAACTCGACCAAATAAATTACAATTTTAATTTTGTTATTCTCTATATCCAGCAATAATTTAAACAATTAATGAATGTACGCAAAAGTTTAAACAATTTTGGAAGTAAAAAATCATTGTCGTAAAAAATGCTAGTTGAATTCAGTTTTTGCTTGTTAAAAATTTGTCCACTAGCAAAAAATTGCTAGTGGCCAAAAAAGTTAAATTCCAGCCCTGACTTATAGCTACTAACTTAGTGTGATTCTTAAACGCACAAGGGGCCCACACAGTGTTTGGATGGTATATACTGCTTGATGGCAGTGATTTTTCTGGCTTAATTGGGAAGAAGCCTTAGCCTCTTGATTTTGGGAAAAATTATCGCTAAAATTGCTAATTTTGGAAGAAAAAAGCATGTTTCAGTTCAGATTTTTGGGAAAACTGCATGATTTTAAAGAAAATTTCAATTGGGAAGGGGCCCTTTTTCGGAGTCTGTTATATATGTAGGAAAATCACTGGATGGTGACCTTAAATGAGATTTAAGTCATAACTTTATAATATGTATATAAATATAGGCCAAGGACATTACTCGGTAAATATAGAATTTTCTATCACCCACAAATTCATGCGAGATATCGGCATATCAGCATTATGACAGGGTTGCAGTATATTATTTAAGAGGGTTTGCAGCCCTCCCAGAGCCTTTGGCCCCAATTTGGACTTTCCATGAATTATAGTCTGACACCTGAATTTATGTTATTGCTTCTTTTAATTAGGTCAGCAAAATGGAAGGGGCAATGGCACCAGGAATGCTGTCTACACTATGTGATATGCTTAAACCTCCAGAGGAAGATTCAGATAGTGATGAAGACAAGGTAAATGTTTCAACTATTGTTAAGTGATTGGTAAAACGATGAAAATTTTATGGTGACACTCTCAACTTTCTTGACAGAGGATAATTTTTTTTTATTTATAGAATTTTTCAAAGCATTTTGATTGGTTAAATAACAAACTTTTTGAAAGTGGGCTTTGGATCCTACATAGTTGATAAATGAAACAAATGATTCAAAGTCAGGAATTTTAACACTCAGCCACATGACTATAATTTTTATGTTAAATTATTCACTTGAAGTTGTTTATGACAATCTCATTGTTTAATAGAATCTGCTCTTACACTGATTACATATAAACTTCAATGACTTTGTTTAAATAACAATGTTTACTTTACAGCCAGTGTCAAGTATAGCCCAGCTAAACCCTGGAAACATTGGAACCAAAACTAAACCCAAGAAAGACCTAGGGGAAAAGAAAGGTAAATATTTAAACAGAATGCCTTATGATTAAGCTGTGCAGTTACAGTTGCAATCTTAATACAGTTGTTTAAACATGATTGACACTATTAACAGTATTGTAATCTTGCTATGATCATCAAAAAATTAAACTGTTTAATATCTTTGTTACTTTTTTGAGATCATGCATTGGCTGTTTATGTGTCATACAATTACTTTAATCATACTTAAGCCTCTTGTAGTAGAACTGTAGATTATTTGCTTATACTAAGTGTAAAATAAGTATGATTATAGAACATAACCAATGATGACTTTATAACTTTACATAGTTCTCACAATCTAGATTTAAGTGCAAAGTATTTTTAGCAAGAACATTGACAACTTACATGACTTTGTAATTATAGTTGAAAAGGATACAAAAGATATCTGGGATACTGAAGAAGTCCAGGAAGGTTCTGAGTTCGAGTCAGTATATGATCCACGACCACAACCCGAGTAAGTGATATATTGATATGTAGAGCTGTGCTGACCACATTTTCTTTTCATTATGAATTAAACAATTGCAGCTACATTATCTCCTAAATGTGTTATGAAAATTTTAGTATAAGAACAATATGTAATGATCAACTTATTTAATTGGTACCACTTTATATACTATATATCAGTCTTTCTTATGGAAGGTCAAAATTTGTATTTAGGTGCCCACTTCTACCTGAACTAATGCACAAAAAGGCACTTCCATTAGCCTGGAATGGTACCATATATATATCCTTAACAGTAATGTTGTGAAAAAAAACCCCAATAGAGTTTCCAAGTTTAAAAGTCATATGAAAATGTCAATTTTTAAATTTATATGAAAAGTTATATACTTTGTTCACTGGTATATTGGTCGTTATGGGTACAACTTAACTGTGAATTGTTCTGATACAACTGTACTTAAAACGCAAGTAGTTAGAACTGCTTATATGTAGTCATTTCAATGCCGTTCACCAATTTGGGTTGGGTTCGGGCCAGGAATGTTAGAATTCGTTATGTGAGCAACTTATAAAACTAGTTTGTAGAATCATACTGATACTATTTTGATATTATTTTTAGGTATGATATTATACACAAGCAGGCAGTAACATCTGAGGACATGTTTCTACAGATGGGCAACAAAACACCAGCCACATCTTCCTGTGAAGATATGGTGGTTAGTTTCATTGTTACATTGATAATTGTATTTTATAGTATACTTAAAGGTTTTCTGATAAAACTGCAGTGGTTTTCATGTTAGAAAGTTATCCCGCTAGCTTACTGAAGGTTGGTGGTTCTACTAAGGTGCCCACTTGTGCCAGAAATAATGTAGGAAAGGGCACCTGATGTCTTACTTCACCAGTAAAGCATGCCACAGTCATGACCTCTACAGTGTGGGTGAGATTTAAAACCAAACAAATATACTTTCAAAAGATGAAATACATATGGTCTGTAAGTTTTAATTAGTATTAATTTATTGTGTGACACATCTGGCATTAACAGGTTCAATGTTACCCAAGTCTTTAATATTCTCAGTTTTGCTATGTTAGGTGCGTTTATAATGTAGATTGTCTTATTTTCTATTTCGCAGCTGACTTTATGTTCTAAATATTGTGTTTGAGATTGCATATCCTGATTTTTTTAAGTCTGTTAAAGTATTGAAAAAAAAGATCAGGGAAGTTTAACATAGCCAACTATTTTTAATCCTTCATGTTAATACACATAGTCTGGTTGAACAAGTTTTCTTGATAGTTGATATGTATCTGATATTTTGTTAACAAAGTGGTGAAGTTGTTGTATGACACTTACCATGGTATAATGTGTTATGTCTACAATCATTGCCTGAATTGATTGCAACAGTTAGATTTGTGCCACTTCACCAGTTTTTTCGTGTATTACAGTTTACTTGTAAACAATTAAAAAATTCCTATACTTATTTGTGTGTTAAACAGACTGTCAGTAAAAGATATTTCAATGTTTTCATAATTTTATTGTACTATTTTCAGGTAAAGATTAAATTACCAGACACAAAAATGCCAGATGTTACATTAGATGTTAAACCTAAATTTCTGGATTGCAGAACACCAAATTAGTAAGTAAGATTAAATTATTGGGAAAATAATATTAAACAGGATTGTAAACAATAATTTTTTTATAGGAATTGAGCTGGTATAAAAGATGAATCAATTATAATTATAAGCAACAGGTTTATGTTTCCTTAAGAGACATTTGTACTGGGCTGCTGAATTATTGGTCAGTGGAGCATGATAAGTCTTTCCTGTTAAACTACATATACATGACTGATGTATTGTTGTGACTTAAAGATGTGTTTTTCCCATCCCTGAATATTATTTTAATCACAAAAATTTATTGAAATTAATGAAATTCTTATTGAATATGTCTAATGTGAATAAAAGAATGAAAAAACTATATATAGGAAGCTGTGTTCCATATTATGGGTCAAATAAAGTTGGTTCTTTCTTAAAAAAAAACTGCCAGTTTTTTAACCTCGCTATAAATTCATATTGTGACCACATACAGTGTGTAGAATTTTAAATATTACATATTTACTTTGTGTGAAGTCTATAATATGTTTATTTTATATTTACAAAGAGACTGTGCAATTACCTATTTTTTCCAACATCAAATTTGAGCATAGTATATCTTTAAAATTGAACCTAAAGGAATAAAATTAAGATTAACAAGAATATCCAATGGTAAAGACTTAAGTATCAGACTGTCTAAATGGTTGATGTTGCCTTTCAATGAAATATCTATGTTAAACAGTCAGATCAAACATTGTATAAATTAACTGTTTACATGTGACTATAATTTCGAAGGAAATTATGACATTCTGCTAAAAGGAATATCATATCTAATTGTTATTATAGTGTAATTTGAGGTATATTTAGAGAGATTATCTGTTTTTATTTTCCTATATATGTTCTTTGTGACAGCTGACATTTTAAAACCATTTTTTCCCACCTCTTTTAAAAGATAACTTTACATTGCAAGTTACAGATGTAACAGAGCTATACATTGGAGCTTATGTTCAACTGTTGTATATCTTTCAAACTGTAAATAAATTTTAATTCATTGTCTTTAGTAGACTGTTTAATTTGTCAACATTTGATTATTTTATCTTTCAGTTACCTCGGACTACATTTACCACATCCTGTTGACCATAAAAATGGTAAAGCACAGTGGGATGGTAAAACAGAGACATTGAGTGTAACACTTAGATTAAAACGTGAATATGATTTTATGAACTTCTGATGGCAGTCACCATGTTACCAACCTTGTTGTGTTCACTCAGTGATTATAATAAAAGTAACAGACTTAGTAAGGTACTACTGAAACTGTGATGTTCACAGACACCAGAAATATATTTGCTCTTTATACTTTTATTAAAGAAAAAGAAAATAGTAGGAATATATTAATTGAATTAAAAAGAAATTTAACCATGTGATGGATATCAGTACTAAAATTTGACACTTTCATCTTACTGATCATCATCATCATCACTATCATCATCAAGTATATGACTATAAAGTCAGATCTTCTCAGGATGGAAAGATCTTTATTCCTTGCTGCTTATGATATGTAATTAAAGAACAGCTTAAACAGTTCATCATTGACTAATTATAAATTACATTATTTCAGGCATACAAGTTTTTGTACTATTTATTTTATGTTATACATTCCAGTTTTGATATCATGTTAAAATCCGTCCAACTTATTTATTTAAGATGATATTATTGAATAAATGTTTTAAATCAAGTTTGCCTTAAACCCTTTCTTTGTCAAATTGTCAGTATTTTCCTATTTGACCTAACTTAGGTTACCTCCCTTTTAACGTCATTGAAGCTTTGTCATCCAGAACAGGAGAAATGCATTTTATAATAATAATAAGCTGTCAAAAATACATATATTATTTGAATTATATATTTAGCTTTATTCAAACCTCATACTTAGTAGTGGAAACATTTATGATAAGTATGTGCACTAGCTTATAGCTGGGACATACAGTCTGACATGAGTTTACCTTGTTGTCTCTTCAAGTCCATCATTTTGAAATTGATAAACCTAAATCTCTCAATAAACCGTTTTGAATTCAAAGCAAGTGAAGTCTGTTATACAGCAAGGATTGTGATGAAACATTCTGGTGGCTCCTCAAGAATAACTTAGTTTTCATAATGATAAAAATTTTCTTTGAATAACCTTAAAAATGTTCGTAAGTTTCATTTCAAAGGTAACTGCCCCTTTCTACAGGTGCTAAACGTGTCGGAAAATATCGCACCGTCTTCGTTCTAATAGATGCGGTGTCTTTATAAAGCATTTATTATAATGCTACATTTTGTGATTACACTTGTGGTTAATTTGATTCTGTATAAAATAAACAATAAAATAACAAACAGAACAATGTTTTAATATATCATGTAATTTCACAATTCTTCCAGCGTACAGGGCATCAATATGCATTTTTAAGAGTTCTTTTAATTGATATATATCAATGTCAATTAAGCAGAAAAACTCTACCAAATCACAGAAGATACAAGCTGTTATTTAGGACGTCCTAGATGTAGCACACACTTTAGAATTGTCCTTGATATTTGAGATTATGCATACCAAGCAATAATAGCTATTCCATGAACCATCCTTCAAGTGCTTGACTGTGTAGTAAGAAGGAAAACGAAAACACCTTTCTGAACACTGCAATTAGTTACGATATTAAACCGACAAGTAACACAGTCTCTTTGATCTAATTTAATCAGCCAGTTTTTCATGCCTGTTGAATACTGTAAAGAGATCAAGCATATAGACTGTATTTTGATGTTATGTTCCTCTTTTCATGTCAAAGTTAACACTTCCCAAACATTTCACACGACCGGTGTCATAACAACTCGATTTTAAGTAGTTTCTGAGCGACTGAGTCCCCCGCCGGTTTCGTCTGCCTTAACATCTTGCGCATGCGGAGATGCATCTTCCGCCGGAAGTCTTTTTCGCCCTTGAGCAACTCTCTGAAATATATTCACAATGTTTTAGCTTAGAAATATAAAAAGAGAACATCTTATTTTAAATTCGATCTTCGAATACTTGCGAATATATGAAATATTAACACTATCTTGACAATATTTTAACACTTTGCCATATATTTGACATGAACTCGTACTTTAAAGTTCAAATATGGTTTTATGGAGCTATATTTCTATTACAGTAGTCTGCTGTTTTGTAGAAAATCATAATAATAATAATAAAAAAAAAATATGTTATTAAACATAAAATTTGAAAGTAAATTTACTATGGTTCTGTAAAAAGAATTTGTAATATGATGACAGCAAATGAAAATATTACAATTTTCTTGATACATCTACGAACAAACAAACAAACAAACAAACACATAAAACAACATCAACCACAATAACAACCACAATAACAACAACAACCCCCCATTCATTGCAACTACAATTCCTTTTTTAAAGCTGAACGTTTGATGTATTTCACTTAGACTTTCTAAACTTTTCATAAAAGCAAATTATTTAATCCAGAATGCTAGTAAAAGGACGGTTAATTGTCCTAGTTGTTTTTATGTTATCATTTTTTTTGCTACCAAGAGTTTTATACCGATTCAATAGCATAACACAGTAAGGATGGTAATAGGTGTAATCTGCTCTTCATAATTGGAGGAAATAAAAGAATCTATCTATCTAGTTACTAGTTCAGTACTGATTCATAATCTTTAAACAGGCACCCCGGCGGTGAATGACTGCACTGCTGTTAAAAGTTTTAAAATAAACATAAAACAAACACTATTCTGATATACACTAAGTGTTTAAGTTCTGATGCCAGTTATTTCATGTTGGTATATTAGACAGTTATGCAAATTAATGACATACAATAAGATCGGACATAGCTCCTACTACTCCTTTGAAAATATTCTAGCAAATAAAACAAATCATGAAGCGAAACTGAAACTTAAAAATAATGTATCTTGAGAGTAAAAGAATGCTAAGCAGACGAGAAAATGTCTCACAGAAAAGAAAGGAAGACAAATCTAGCATTGACAATTATCTACATTAACTGTAGCAGTTACCTACCTTGAGAAGTTTCCTAAATAAGCTTAGTTAAATAGAAAGCGGTTAGTTGTTAGTTTCAAAAAGTCAAATTTAGTCATTTCACTACAACCTTGAGATAAGAAATTAGATATTTAACGGCGTTATTACTATTTATGATGGAATGTTGAAATATGCAGTGACAATAATGGCATCGTAACTATGACGTATTTGAACTTGAGGATCGGTACCGTAATGCACATATCATTGTCATGTGTATCATGCACGTTTGTTTGTAGTCGTCCGTCAATCCTCAAAATTTTGATTCAAAGTCGGCTGCCCACCGTCACGAAAAGCTGACGTTATTAGGTAATGAATTACTTATTTGCCATTTAATAATCACTGCGAAAAAAGTTGTCAAAATTACATGTGTTCATTCAAAATTGTAATATTCTTTGATATTTTAATAGTCAATAACATCAAAACGTGTATTAAAGTATTAGTATTACATTAGTTATGATTACAAATGTATGTAGTAAAGATATGTATGGTTTCAAACCGTACCTTGTAGTATTATCATATTGTACATACTATATATATGTTTCAGTTATATTATACAATGACAAAGATTGAAATCATAAAATTTATCACACTTTGAGGAATGTTTTTTGTTAACGCATGTATCTTTTGAAATAGAGCTATAAAGAATCACTAGTTCATAACACTCGTCTTTAAATACTAAAAGGTACGTTCAGCACATGAATAATTAAGTTAGTTTGTTACATTACACACGCATCATTATATCGTCAACATTAGCTACCTACCCGAGATCAACTTCCCCGTCACCATCTGTATCAAGTCTGTCAATAACTTCATCTAGTTGTGCTTCCGTCAACGGGATGTTTTCTGCCTGGTTAAATGAAACGAAAATTTTATTGTTTGTTATATACTATTTAAGTGTCATGCTGAGAGGCAATTACTTTATAAATCTTAAAGTATACCTTAATTTTCCGTAAGTTAGCTCAGTTTTTTACGTACATGACGTTAATTAGCTAGAGAAGACGATTCGAAACAGAAAAAAATTGGCCACAACCAAAGTTGGCCTTTATTTGATAATTTATGTGCTGTTTGCAATTATGTAAATTACTTTCTTTCTCCATTCGACAATATTTTGCTTTATGCTTATTTTAATACATTTACAAAATTTTCAGAACATGAGCATGAATCTGAATGCATGCTCAGTGATGCTGCTGTCCCTTTTTGACAAGTCTGTGTTAAAAGACTCGATTCAATTAATTTGATAATTTTACACATAAGGTGTACGATAATTTTATCGTATTTACTACTCACCATTAAGCCTAACTTAAATTCTTGTCTATCAACACTGAAGCTCCTGTCTTTATCCAGTCTTTTTAACAGATCTATCACTCTATAACCCTGGTCCTGCATGTATTTAAACATTCGAACGACTGGATCCCTCCAGTCTAATGCATTAGGATCTTTGGCCGGAGCATCTGTGGACCGTACCACCGCCCCAAACATGATACGTAACGGGATCTCTCTTTTGCGTTTAATTTCATCCCATTTTTCTAGAAAATCTGACCGCACTACGATATCCTGTCAAGAAAAGAGACAAACTTTACGATTCTTTATGTACATACAAGTATACTTGAAAAGAACCAAAATACAGTGTATGTAGCCTGGTTTGACTGGTTTTCGATAGACAATTTTAGCAACACCTATTTACACTTTTTAAGATGTTACGGAGACTTTAATAACTCCGTTATATGTTCCATCTTGGTGTCGGGACCACACTGAGGGTCATTAAAAATTGTTCTCCTTATATCATTTAAGATGCATACCGACAGAGAAATTATGATAAAATTTTCTAGTGTGCCTGGACTAAACGCTTTATGAAAGAATAACGTGTCACTTACCGAGAGATCCAGTAATCGGATGACACATTTATCTGACTCCTCTATAGCTCTGAGTATTGTTAATGCCACTTCCGGTGAAAATGGATTCTGCCCAATCTAGAAGAAAACATACTTCCGGTTATAAAGCATGTCATATTTAATATCACATATGAAATAATTCATGTTATGACAAGTAGTCACCCTTATTTCAATGCTTATGATATCAGAAGCATGGCAATTTCTTTGTTATTTCATTTAATAAAAAAGTTAAAAACATTTCTATTATTTGCCAACAATGTATTAATTTAGAGATTATGGAGATGCATAAGCGCTAACCAAACACGATTGTCTAAATTTTGTTATTTCTATTAACTTGTTTTTTGTTTCTGTGTTGATGTATTGACTCACTTTTAGCTCTGTAAGTCCGTCATTTTGTTGCAAACCCTTTAGAAACCCTCCAATTCCATCCATTCCAATACGATTATTAGATATATCTAAAGTTAATAACGTTCTATTTTCCTCTAATGCCCGACCTAGACACATAGCACCTTCTTTAGCGAATCCATTCCAACCCAAATTTAGCACTTTTAGACCTACATTTTTCTGAAAACAGAAATTTAGATGCACATAGTTGTGTGATATTTGACAGCCATCGTTAAATATGTTACGTTCAATGTGTACCTATATGTTTCTTGTATATGTTGAGGTCCGTTTGAAATCAAATCTATTAGAGGTAAAACGTTGAACCTTCCATTATGAAGAATTCCTACATCGATACCTTACTCAAAACTCGGTTAAGATGGTCTAACATTGCACACAACTATAATGGCTAGTTGTGAACAATAAAATATAATGTCTAAAATACTGTAGACATAAATGATGTACTTTAACCCCTAACACATTTTGAAAATTTGCCTTTTTGTCCTATACTAACCATGTGTTTTTGTAGAATGCATTGCACTTTAAAGTTAGAAGTGGCAAATTATTCTTTACCTGAACTCCTACGGCAACAGCTAGCGCTCCCCTCCCTCTAATATGGTTCCAACTTAAATCTAATTCTTGTAGGGTGTCGTTTATTGCTGAAATATTGAACATTTAAGTGAAACATCATAATAATAACATAATATAACCACAATTTTTTTCGTCATAGTAACAGTTAAGTAAAAATCATGTTTTATAGTAGATACTTAATTTCATATGTTAAGACAAAAGATTTTGATTCCACAGCAATATATTTCCATTTTGATTTCAATTATCTAATTAATTTCTAAGACATATATATGATATTATATCAATGTTGTCACAAATAAAGTAGTTCAATATTAATATAACAAATGAGCCGCGTCACGACAAAACCAACGTAATGTGTTTGCGACCAGCATGGATCCATGCTGTTCGCTTACCAACTCTATTACAAGTAGAGAAACTGATAGCTAAGAGCATGGATCCTGATTAGACTGCGCGGATGTGCAGGCTGGTCTGGATCCATGCTGGTCGCAAACGCATTACGTTGGTTTTGTCATGACGCTGCTCAAATATATTTACCAATAGCCCGCCCAATGTCAAAAGCACCTTCAGAACTCAGTCGATTGTGACTAACATTCAGCACTTTTAAACGTGAGTTAAACTGAAACAAAAATAACTTGTTTTTGTCTTCTAAAACTAATTTAATATTCGTTTATAAATTACACTTGATGTTTAATATTGTGTTCAGATAAGTATGAAAAGTTGATTTGAATGGCCTGACAAGAAAATTGTAAACAAATAATGAAAAAAAAGAGTAAATAAATAAATAAATAAATAAATAAAAATACTAATAATAATAATAATATTAATAATAATAATAATAATAATAATAATAATAAGAAGATGATGATGAAGAAGAAGAAGAGAAGAAGAAGAAAGAGAAAAATAAATAAAACAACGGAAAACAATGAAAGTTTTTTTCACTTCCTTTTTCAGTGTTTCACCTACCTCTATCATATCAGCTACAAATTTGGAATCTGAATCTTCCAGCCCACTTCCTGAATAATGATGTAACAAATATACAGTTAAACCATGGCTATCAACTAACCACCCGATATACGATCGATACAATTGAGATAACCATATTTAATTTTATGTTAATTTTCTAATTTTTAGCTTCTGTAAGAAAAGGACTTTCGCTTCCTCTGCTCAAGCATACACACATCATTATAAAACAAATAAAGCAGTAGCAGTGCATTTGTCCATTCCGCTAAGCAAAGTAAACATTTATTTTTGATAAAGACCGCAAAATCGATCACCTGTAAAACCGGGTTTACTAACAAACCTGGCATATATTTCGGAATATCAATATACTCGGGCACCTTAATGAGAAAAATTTTGCTTTTTAATATAAGAACTTTCTACTCGAAGAATTCATATTTTTTTTAAAAAGATGACGGTTAAGAAAACTTTAATGTATTATTACCAGATATATCTAGCGTATGAAGAAATTTGCCTTCTTTCAACAATTCAGTAAATGCATAAGCTCCCCTTGATCCTATCATGTTCTCCGAAATTCTCTGTAATTATAATAAATAATCTCCATACAATAATACCTATCCATTAATATGCAAACACTGATGGTTTACAATTATGTTTCTATGATAAATAATTATCTTTCTTAGCGTTTCTATCAACTTATAACATATACATTTGTATAAATAATTAAGTATTTCAATAACAAATTGATTTCTTACAGGGTCATGAATTAGCCAGAAATCGGCAGTTTTTAAATTACTCCATGGTAATAACAACGTAATAGTGAGAAGTCGATGGTACTATAAGTACGATGTTGAGAAGCCGATTGATTACGAAACCACGCTTGTAAATGCTTTAGATTGGTGAAAGTGCAAAATAACGAAACAACGTGACCACTATGGTGAAAGGTCAAAAGTACGATGTCAAAACACGAAATTAAATCAAGTTTTCAAAACAGGGGTTTCATTATTTTGACTTTTCACTAAACAAAATTGTACTCATTACTTTTCATTATCGTACCTTTGACTTTTCACCATTTTTAATTTGTCTTTTCACTATTATAACGTGTTAATTATGTGTGTGGCACGATGGCCCTAACTGAACACCGTAGTCTCTATAGACTTTTTATACAGAGTCATACTTAGGATCTTTAAATTATTGACATGAATAAATATATCATAGAGACTTGGATGGATAAAAGATACTTGTCAATTGAATATCTAATGCGCAAAGAAGTTCTTATCAGAAATCTGTAAAAATGGTAATTTCGTGTTTTGACATCATACTTTCGACCTTTCACCATAGTATTCACGTTGTTTCGTTATTTTGCACTTTCACCAATCTAAAGCATTTACAAGCGTGGTTTCGTAATCAATCGGCTTCTCACCATCGTACTTATAGTACCATCGACTTCTCACTATTACGTTGTTTTGTGTGTGTTGCGATGGTCCTAACGAGACACCGTACTAGACAAGAAAAAACATTGCATCGTTTTATTTCTAGGTATTAATTTCGGTTACTTACAACTTCTGTAATGGTGTCGTTTTCTTGTAACATCTCTGCGATATAAACAGCACCCTCTGTACCGATATCATTATCTTCTAAATCCAATTTTTCAACGAATTTATTATTAACTAGAGCAACACACAGTGCACGTGCACCTTGAGGTCCAATCGGATGACTTTTCATAACTATATGTTTATCATTAATATGCCTTGCAATATAGTTTACTGGATTAATACCATACTGTTTACATGATGAAATATAACATTGCACATTTTCCCGCTCTTTTTTCTCGTCTTCGGATTCCTTCGGCTGCTTAACAGGTTCAGCTATAATCAAATGGTAAAGTATCAATTAAACATTGGTTTAATCATTGAAACATAATCAGATTAATTCTCTCGAGGTAATGACCGTCTCCGGTAACATGTAGACAACAAAAGACATGCACCCGGTGAATAAAAAAAACAAGTCTTTCTCTATCTAGAGGTTGTCGCCCCATAACAGTACGCTTGTACTTTTTGTGAAGTATTGAACCTTGAGTGTATTTTAAAAGCAATTACATTTTAAGTAAAATAATCTTTCATTTATCAAGAGTATGCCTTAAGCAACATTTAATTTCTTCTCTAATAATAATAATAATAATAATAATAAGAACAACAACAACAACAACAACGCCCCCGCCGCCGCCGCCGCCGACGACGACGATGACGACAACAACAACAACAATAACAAAAATAATGAAAATAATACTACTAATAAAAAAATAATAGTTATAATAATACATGATTTACATGTTTATGTTTCTTGGTTATTATTATTATTTTTATTAATGTTGTTTTTTAGATTTAAACAAGAAATGACAATTACAGATTTTTATTTCATGCTTTCCAGTGTTTTATTGTAATATATCAGATGATTATATTCTGATAAACCACTAGTGAAATTTATAAAATATAATTTTCGCTGTAGCCGGACTATAATGAATGCGGATGAAAAGAAAATCATAACTAAATGGAATAACAGGCAGACATAAATGCCGTCATGCGTAAATTTTGCTTCTTTAGGAAAAGAAAGTCGATGTCATCATATATCATGTTAAAAAATGTAACAAAATTAGAGAAATTTAACAGACCTATATTTCAAAATTGATGATGTGACGTCATGATATGATGACGTCACAAAGGCGAATGCGTGACGTTACGCGGCAAAATCAGTAAAAAAATACTTCAAATGACTTAAAAAGCATGAAATAAAAAGAAAATTTATTTGTTTTACATATAAGATTGAAATATATTTCATTCTTGAACACCAGCTATTATATTTTCACTCGTGGCTACACATTGCATCTGGTGTTCACTCAGTGAAATTATATAGAGGATATTGAATGAGTGTAAGTTCAATACTGAATTTATTGCACGAGTTGAATAAAATCATATTATGCGAGCCTCTGGCGAGCATAATATTATTTTATTCAACGAGTGCAATAAATTCAGTAATGAACTTACACGAATTTAATATTCTATTTATCACATACCCAAAATAAAGACCGTTTAAAGTGAAATAAGAGTCCTTTTTCATTGACGCGCCTATAGTATAACGCTAACATTTAGCGCGTCTTTACACTATGTTTGTATAACGCTAATGACGTCACGTCAAAATATATGCACGGCCGTGCAATACCATATTTACGGAGTCGCAAAATCGGCACGGGTGTGTGATAAATTTCAATCTTACATGCAAAACAAACAAATATCCTCTATATATCTAAAAGTTTTCCAAATCTAGATTATTATACTTACTATCAGCCATAATATCATATCCAGTGAAAGTAAATTCCCGTTCAAACGATGACACTGATGTTTTCTTTGACACACTGTTTGTATCACTATCTCTAACTGAACTTCCATCTTTATTAGGAGTCCCAGGTCCCGAATCTCGCCCTGTCCTCACTAGTGAAGCTGTCCGGCTCAGATACAGAGACGCTTGTTTAGAACCTAGTCCAGTTGTTTTCATGTCTGACATGGCTACCTGTCGACTCGGACTTATCATTCCATTTCTTTTTCCACTGCCAATGTGTGACCTCCCGTTTAGACTACCAGCTCTTGATAAGTTTCCTTCGTCCATTTCTGCGATAGGTGAATACGTTACCGAGGTCTTTTGTTTGCTCTTACTTGATAAAGCCATGTTTCTTACTTTTAACTGAAACAACAAATAAACTTTCTTTTCTTCACTTTCATAAAGCAATGTTTACTTAAAGTTGAAATTTAGTCCACAAAATTCTTAAGATTAAGTTTAATGTTTCTGACAAATACATTCATCACGGGACGTAATTAATTAAAACCCCCGTAATCCTAATCGGTGTTGTAAATAAAAAAAATTGATATCTAAATAAGTATTGATTTTCATTTGTAAAAAAAATCTTTTTTAAAAGATGACACGGGATATTTTAATCAAGCAAAATATAACACCGTGCTAATTTGTGACTATATCATGTTAAAAAAAACATACAAAAGTTGAACTGCTTTGATTATGTACAATACCATTTATTTAAATAATAGCTGACTTCAATTTTAAAGTGTTAAAATACAGCCAAAATAGATTACCTATAGATAATACAAAAATCATAGTTCTACACTTAATAACAATGCATTACAACGTGTCATATATAGATATATTCCACACATGATTTAAATCTGCAAATCAAAAGAACATTCATAGAAAATATGATATGAACACATCATAGCGATGAAATAATATGAGCCGCGTCACGACAAAAGCCAACATAATTGGTTTGCGACCAGCAGGGATCCAGACAAGCCTGCGCATCCGCGCAGTCTGATCAGGATCCATGCTGTTCGCTTACAAACCCTATAGCAAGTAGAGAAACTGATAGCGAACAGCATGGATCCTGATCAGACTGCGCGGAAGCGCAGGCTGGTCTGGATCCATGCTGGTCGCAAACCCATTATGTTGGTTTTGTCGTGACACGGTTCATATATAAAAGAACTTTGTCGTAAAAACTAAATCTGATTAATATTTCATATCTTTATTATCAAATAAATTGACATACAACTATTCTAAATATCTATAACATGACGTTTTATAGGCTTTCCTTTTTATATAAAATCAAAATGTCAAAAACTTAATAGTTTTCGACCATGCGAAAATTTCAAAGGTTTTTATTTGATATCTACATTAGATATAAATCAAGATTATCTTTAATAATTGCACTTTGTCGTATCTACATTGCCGCGATATTCAAATTGTACACTAAAAGTTGATTTACTATATCGTGAAAATGAAATTACGCTCTCTACTTATTAACAATTTGAAGTATGAACTCAAGTGGCGTGTCTTCAAGAGTCCTTGAGACACAAAATAATGTCAAATTTATTTACAAAGGGTTTATTTTTTTAGCTTCTGTTGTTTAACATAGTTGTCGCGCTTCTGATAGACTGTATGACTATTAACATAGTAATTGTATACATAAGAAGTTGACAAAAGGTTTCTTACAATAATATTTGTTTGATATCAAACTTAAAAATTTAAATTTGTATATATTCACTAACCTCACCAATTCCTTATTCGCCGCCAAAAAATCATATGATTCTGTCAACCTCCTTTGTTGAAACTCACTGAAGACCTTTTTTCTTTTCCTTTTCTCTCCATTGAATGGACAATAATCTTTTATGCCATTTTAAAATTGCATTTTCTGTACGCTTCTTCAAACAAACATTTCGATGATTGATAAAAACAAACAAAGTGTATTCATGAGTTGGTAAATATGTGCAATCCAACAAACCAGCAATGAAAAATTGTACGTTGTTATCCGCTTCAAGCATACAAAACAATTTATTGAGGAATAAATCAGTCCATGAATCTTTTAAGTACTTAAACGAAACATTTTATTATGCACTTAAAATGATCTCTATTTCAAAAGAGAATGTAACACTTTATTTTCAATCTAGAAGCAAGGTCGTTTCTTCTTAAAGAAACATGAATGTTACAATTTGCAGCAATTGAATACGCTTTTATTCAGTTATCCTCAGATTTTATCACGACGTTTCTTTCACTTCTTTCACGTGCACATGTAGGTGTTCAACTGTTAATAATTATATATTCAATCTTTATAATCATCAAGATCTTTCCTACAAATATCTTAAAGTATGTTTTGATAATTGATAAATAAAGAAACACTTTTAACATGTTTTAAGATAAGATTGTTCTGTAGCGTGTCCATGTTCTGGGCTATAGATGATCGCCAATAGTTTCAATTTTATTCCTTGGAGAAATAGAAAAACAAAACCAAAACTCTTCTTACAGAAAGTCATGACCGTTCCAACCTATCTCCATATACATAACATCAATATTTATCCACTATATCCAAAATAAGATTTAACTATAATAGAAATATGAAATTAAGCTGAAAATTCCTTTTGCAAACAGTTGTATTATTTCTATAAAGTTGTTACGAAGATTTTGATAAGAAAACAATATTTTCAATTTCCATGATCCGTTACAAGCATAACAGGATTTCATTCACAAGAGTTCAAAAACTTGTCAGTATTTGTTAGCAATTAATTACCAAAGTGGCTGATTTTTCAATAGGAATAACGATTATATAACGGGAACCAATCTTTTTTAATATTCCATTTTATTTGGACAACTGCGTGGATTTTAATTTACCCTTACACAAACTTTTATTGTACACAACTTTGTTTAGATAAGAAACTGAATTGTTACAATTACGACGATGGATCGATGTTTAAAACCAATATCCATTTAGCCATATTGGCCAATAACTGTTTAGCGTAACAATAATTACTATAATCGCCTGTAACTTGATCATAAATTCATTTTACATTTTTTATGTTATACTGAAAGAGAAATGACTTTGAAGAGGATGTTTGTAAATGCGTTCAAATAAAAAAAAAGGTAGAGTTCTTTACATGAAATTAATACATAGATTATTTCACTCTATTTTATCGCCACATCAGCGTTGTTTGTGCCGTGTGGAGGCTGTACAATGTCGCCCCGTACATTCAATCAGGGATGTTATATTTCCGATCCTTAAAGATCGTTCAGCACGACATTATTGTTGTGCTTGTGGTATTTTAGTTCTATCTATTCGGCATCTTTCTTGTTGGGTGGTTCCAGTATTCCTCACTTGAATACTGTTGAATCACCCTTAGGATATGAGGCCTGTTTTTTAATTTTGTCTTTTGACGTTATATCTGTTATATGCAGCTTCATAGCCTCAGATCCCCTTTCAAAATTCCATTTTATTTAGTTCCGCCCATTGTTTACGCATTTTTTACTTGGGGACCATATGTCGCTTTTCATGGAATGGCACTAGCGTGTCACATTGAAGGTTCCATGATGACCGCCATATGAACACATCTGCGGATGTTTCAAAATTCTAAATTTAACCAGTTCATGTTAAATGTTGAATTCTGCTGAAGCCAGTACTAGGGGGCGTGGACGGGTAGTTTGCACTTGACAGTACCGTCCATGAACAGGCTCAATCAAACAGAGCCTGCATCTTTTTACAATTTGCCGTGTTGGGCTTTCTTTAGGGATTTTTATTTCACTCTATTTTAATGAGAAAATTGCGTAAACCAGAATTTGATTACATGCTAAACTGAACTATATAATGCTATCATCGTATTTTACGAGGTGTAATACTTTCTGGATGCCAAAATTTTTGTACATTTTGTAATTGATCCGGACTGACCCTAGTTTTGTTGACGAGATTTTCTTTATAAATAAAGCATGAGGGAATGATAACAGAAATAAAAACTGCGGATCCGATGCTCATGATTTCACCAGAGAAACTGTTACTCATGATGATTTCACTAATTGAACTTTAATATGACCGACACGTGGATAAACATCTTATGTCAGCTCTGCACACTTGACTTAAATGCATTATGTATGATATTGAATAAAAATGTATACATACACTGACTATAAAATGAAAATATTTATGTAATATCGAAGCCGTATAGCTTAATATACAAACATAGAAGTTCATTTACTGAGGTTTCACATTGATAATAAATGTGTTACAACGCCCTGACTTTACAAGCCGATCCTTAAAAACTTTCACCTTACTTTGCTTGATATAACTATCCATTACTACTCCTCTTATATTAAAAGAAATACTGTTTATTAATACTAACATAGAAACGGTATACATTGCAGATTCTTTATCTATTTGAATCTTATTGATATTGTCATTATATTTACTTAGTATGGTTTCATTTGAAGAGAGTGTCTTGAATTGTTCTTACAGTGATATAAGTATTAGTATAAAGTCCACGAAACAAAATTTCAAACACCTTAATTATTTCATTATAATATGTTCGAAATTCGTCCTTAAATAAGTAATTGATGAATCGACTTGTTTCCCACAGTAGACCTTCTATAAGTGACCAGTATACAGAAATTAAAGTAGATGGAGTATTCGTATTGACGTTATGAAATTGAAAAAAAAGAAAGAAAACGAACACATGTGATACAGAGTAATCACAAAAGAAATTCTGAATTTTCTATATTTTGTTATTCCGAGAAAAGTACTAATTAAAAGAATGCTCAATTTCATTCCAATAAAATTTTCTGAAAAGCTGACTTATATAACAAATCTTGAAGAAGGGTGATCCCTCGGAACCATTAATGACAACAAAATTGAATTGAAATCGCAGGCTCGACTTGATTAAGTCTGTTTATGAGGGATAATTAAAAAGTGCAACATCTCTCACGCCCCCTAGCACCGCCTTGAACGGTACTTTATTTTCAACACATAAAAGTGCTGGAATAAAAAATGAAAGAATAACGACATATTAAATGATATAATGATGAATATTTATAGAAAACTATTGGTCACATGGTAAAATGGAAATAGTTAAAACTTAAATATAAAAATTGGTAAGATTGACTGTTTAGACCTCTTTTCCATGGACAAACAGCTTTTACATATGGAAGAAAACTTACAGTTCAAATAATTTATAACAACAGTATAAGTTATAAGATTGAAAGAAAATTGGCCTTTAGTTATAACAAAGGCAGTGAAGAAGATTTAATTAGGGGGATTTACTCATCTTTCAAGTAGAATCAAAAGTTACTGTGTTTGAGACATCGTTGCTATGTGTTGTACTTACATAAACAATACTCTTAGACTTTTATTTAACGCCTTTATAAAAAAGATACATGTACCAGTTTAATGCATGTTAAAAGAAAGGTCGGTGATGCAAACCTTAGGAGAAAACAATGTATATTTCAAACTTGGTTAAAATTTGTTGGTTAAAATCAGTTGAAATTAGTCGTGCAAAAATGCATACTGGTAATTAAAAGGTATTGTATGAAGCTATATTTTGACTGTCTGAAATTGGCATAATAAATGTTTGTTGTAGTTTTTCAGCATTAAAGATCAGTCTCACGGTGGTTTATCCACCTGTCCAGAGCTAATTTTGATAGCGACCTCTGTAACGTTATCAAGGCATTGATATAAACAACTTAATTATTGATTTTGAAAACAATATGATCAAAGGGAATCCGGTTGTGAAATATTGGAAAAGTTTTCATGAAGGCGTATTTCTGTTTAAAATACGTTTTATTTTCTAGCTATTTGACTTCTTAAATCATGTGTATTTACATAGTACATGCATATATAGATTGTTGTTGATCTTTATTATTTGAATAAGGATCGTGATAAGACTCTCACGGTTATCGTAATGTTTGTATCTGTATTTGGCACGTGTAAAGTTTTTATGAAATAACTGTGCACGGACAATAGGGGAGCATGTTAACACTGGATATTTAAGGAGAAATAACTAACAACATTTTGTCCATATACGTTGCTAATGAGAAGTGTAGCATCTTTGTACAGCGTTTTAGTATGATTGTAATGTTGTCTTATTGCAACATGTTAACAAAAGCAATATATTCAAGGCCATGGTTTAATCTTCAATCAATTATTTATAACATGTATATGATAATCCTTTTTATATTGTATAAACAATTAATTTTTGGATCTAATAATATTATAATAAATGCTTAATTCAAGAAACACTGAAAACTTAATAAATGCAATGTTAACAAGCATTTAGACAGATGAGGTGCAAGGACAATTTAAGAATTTACATTAATTTTTTAATTTTGTTTGTTAAATAAAGTGTATATATTTATGCAATATTTTCCTCATTTAAAAAGATAACAATCGGTTCGAGAATCTTTCTTTATGTAGCCACCTTTTACTATCATTACAAATCTACACGTTCCAATTGCAAGTTTAACACCACAAATAATATATCATTTTCATTATTTTTAATTTTTATGATACTTCACATAATCAAATTTCTTATAAAAAGTTTATATATAATTTGTGATTTATTCAAACCAATTATACTGTAAATTTATTTATGCATGTGTATGACTAAGATCAAAATGGTATATGACGATAATAATGACGACAATGATGTTGTTGTTGATGTTGATTATGATAATAATGATAATGACGTTCATAATGAATGAATAACAAATGTTCATTCCCACACAACGACAGTTCATCTATTTGTTTTTGAGACAAATGTCTTAATAGATGTATAGTGTATATCCAAAATAAATATACTGTATTTCACATTTTAGCACTCTTTCTTAACATTATAACGTCACTCGTACATGTACAACAAATGATGGTTATACATTCCTCTTTTTTCATATCGTTTTTATCCCATTTTCGGACCGTTTAATGGAGGTAATTTTCTAGGGGTCTTGTTTTTCTTGGTAGTGAACACCTGGGAGTATTTCTGGTCTTGCTCTTTTTCGGCAATTATTTCATCTTCATGTTCTTTTATCAGATCTCGTTTTAATCTACGCTCTCCGTTTATAAATTCCCTGAAATACACACATAATTGTTCATTTAAATAATCCTAAAATACATAAAAAACGCTAATAAAAATACTCTAGGAAAAAAAGATAAACTCATTTTACGGGCAAAATAGTTTTCAGTTTTCGGCAAAATAGTTTTAAGTTTTCATAAAGACATTTTATGTGAAATAGATGCTATCATTTAAGCAAATTCTAACAATCACATTGGAAGAAAAAGTTCATTGTTCCCTTATAATGAACCGTTTTACTATGATAATTTACTAAAATAATATTATAACTATTCCTGTAGAAATCAATTTCATATTATGTATTACTATAGTTAAAGATATATTTCTAATCATTCTGCTGATTTTTATGAATAAAATAAAATTGATAGTGCTTACTAAGTATATTTTCTTACAATGATGATATATCTTAATCTGTACAATAACTGGACATAATATCATGCCAAAATATTTGGTATGAGTTTCAGATATTTTGACATACAAAATACCTGTAACCATTTAACAAATATAAATAATACTCGTAATAACCAAGATATCTCAAATACATGTACTTAAAATAGCAACTGAGCTTACAATCATTATGGCAGTATTAAACAATATGAATATTTATTGACATTTCAATGGAAATAAGTAATTAAAGGTCCATTATGTTACAAAAATGCCTTTATTTCTTAAAAGCTTATTTTCAAAGCCTTTGAATCATTTCCAAAGAGTTACTCATTGGCTAATGATCTGATTCTTCTTTTGCTTGTGTTGCTTTTTGAGTATTTTGTATGGAAGTCAAAATGAGCCGTGTCACGACAAAATCAACATAATTGGTTTGCGACCAACATGGATCCAGACCAGCCTACACATCCGCCTTTACATTTAGAGAAACTGATAGTTAACAGCATGGATCCTGATCAGACTGCGCGAATGCGCTGTCTGGTCTGGATCCATGCTGGTCGCAAACGCACTTTGTTGGTTTTGTCTTGACGCGGCTCATATATTACTTTGTTTACATTTTGCAATCTTAATTAAAATAAATTCCTCATGAAGTGATACTTTCTCCAAATGATTATCGTTAAACATGCTAAAACCCATTATTCAAACGTTATAAAAGTCATGTTTGCCTTTTTAAAAGTTCTCCTTTAAGGCATAATGTGCCTTTCTGATCTACTGAACTACATGTGCTTACATTTTAAATGAAAACAAGTTATTGGGGATTTATTCAGACATGAGAAGCAGTTTTTTTTGTATTTATTTCAGCTCTAATTTGCAGCGCATGATGATGATAAACATATGCATCTTTTATTGGTTAGGTTTGACGTCGCACCAAGCACAGTATAGATCATAACGTCGACTTTCGATGCAGCTTTACTGGTGGAGGAGGACCTCGGGTATCTTACGGTGTTTCTTATAGTTGTATGGGTACTACTAAACATCGTAAATCATGCAATGGAATTATCTATGCTAGCTCAATTTTTTTTCATAGATTAAATCTGAACAAGAAGAAGAATAAAAGAGAGATAAAATTTAATAGAATAAATTAAAACATGCTAAGCTTTATACGGTTGCGTCCCTTGTATAGATACAATGCAAACGGACTAAGGCCGATATGGAAACAAAACATGTAAGGTGAAAATCCATCCATCCATCCATCAATCAATCAATCAATCAATCAATCAATCAATCAATCAATCAATCAATCAATCAATCAATCAATCAATCAATATTTCTTATTTGAATTACATACAATATTTGATTTAAAACTTAACATTTAGATAAGTAATAGAAAGAGCACCGAAACACAAGGCTATCTGATTTGTACGAGGGGGCATAGCCCCCGAGTATAAATCAGATTGCCGAGTGTTTTGGTGTTCTTTCTCTTTTGTATCATAGTCAAACATGACAGCACGTTCCCTGTTGTAATAATATGAAACCACAGAAAAAATTAACCAATGAACGAGCATTTGAATATGATAGTTCTGCCCCTTTCCCTTTCTCTGCCGTCACAATATGTAAACCCCGGCAAAAATGAACCAATCCACGGGCATTATCTGGAGTGCGGGTAACTGATACCCGCACTCCAGTTACCGCACTGTGCATGCATATGTAAACGATTTAACTCTGACACTTTTTCAACAGAAAGGTCCCCAAACTATGATACAATAATTCAATAGACAACAGGATAGGACCCACTAGGTGATTATAAGTAATAGAAAGAGCACCGAAACACGAGGCTATCTGATTTGTACGAGGGGGCGTAGCCTCCGAGTATTAATCAGATTCCCGAGTGTTTTGGTGTTCTTTCTCTTTTGTATCATAGTCAAACATAAAAACACGTTATAGACAACAGGATAGGACCCACTAGGTGATTATAAGGTATCACATACTGCACAATTATTGGTATGATATTTTATGGAACGTCGATCTGTGGATCAGTACTGCAACATTATAAAAGTTATAAAATTGAATGATTTCAGGGATTATGCTACCGAAAGGTTACGTTTCCTGCAAAAAATACCTACAGTAAATATTCATTTTATATGGAAAAAGTTTTCACATATGCTACATATGCTACTGATATTTTGGCTACTGGTCCAGTACGTAACGAGTTTCATAAATGGAAACAAGTCTAAATTATATGCAGCAAGAGCAAGCAAAAAGCCAAAGAAACAAGCGAATGTATTGTCAACAAAAAGGTATTTTTATCTTTAGATGCGGATAAATAATTGAATACACAAAAAACAAAATCTTTTATGCATTTTTTTCTGATAAACACTTCTAAGCCGGCACTTTTCAATTAATATCTTTTCCTAAAAAATTGAGCACACGTTTGTCCCGATGTTTAACTCTTGTTGCCTCCACATTTCATAATTTCTCACATGAATTAAAATACTACATGTGTTATGACGAGTTACGTACGAGTTACCGCGTTTTGGATATACTATGTACCAAAATATATTAATCGAACAGTGCTGATATAGAAGTGTTTATCAAGATAGTTTTCTACTCTATTCTATATTCTATATACATGTATATAAACCTGTGGTGCTCATTAGTGATACGTTCTTCTAACGTGCTCATTTCAGTGTTTAGTTTACCACATAAAAGTCTGCAATATATAGTATCATGAATATACGAGACAACGTAGGACAATAGTCAAGCGACTACAACGTTAAGTTAATATATTAACTTACGAACCATTGAAATCAATGTACAAGCAATGTATTTAAACTCATATTTTCATTGTGAATAATGTGAAAAATATGATTAGTATATTGACAAGTGTTAAACGTTTGTCCAGGGAAAAGTTAAATACCGCTCCATATAGAATCTTAATGTTATTGTCAAAAGTTGCAACCATTAACAACCTTAATATCTGAAATGAACTTGTCCATCTTTCAATCTGGACACAATCATTAATCTTTTTTAGAGAAATTAAAAAAAAAAATGTTTTGAAAAGCGCACAGTGCACCCTTTGATCAGACGGCACGGGTGTACCTGCATTGGTCGCATGGATAGACTGAATAGTCTTCAGCAGCCTAAATGGTTAATTACTAATAGTCATCAGTGTAAAACAGTTTTTGAAATGGTTAATGTTAACTGTTAGTTACAAGTTATTCTTTCAATGTCTTGGTCACGTGATACAAAATACTTACAAGAAGTCAACCTCGCCATCTTTATTAACATCCAGATAATTCATCACAGAATCTAGAGCACGCTCACTTATAGGAAATCCCTCTCTCTACAAGAAATTTATAACATATTGACCGTGTTGGTTTTTTAAAAATATTCATTGAAATTTTTAAAACTGCCAATATTTTTTTTTATCATTTTCTTATTCTATGCTTTTTTTCTCTGGTAAGAATATTGTTAGCCTATATAAAAAACTAATATATACTCGTACTGTTCTTATATTTAGTGTTTACTCCTTTACATCCATATATTGTTTTACTACACATATGTTAAATTACCTCAAGCAAGAATCGAAAAGGGGATAGTTCTAAATTCTAATAGAACTATATGTCGTAACAAAAAAAAAACCCATTATATTTTAAAAATTCGAATTCTTCCATTAAATATAGAAAATCAATAAAATGATTACAAAAAAGAGAAAACAATTTAAAGTCAAGACGTTGGGTATATGTCGTCTGCTGTACCTCGAATGCAAACTTCATCTCGTCTCTCGATAGAGAATTGCTACCGTCTCTGTCCACCTTCAAGAAGAGGTCAAGCGTTCTCAAATGTTCCTTCATGTAGAACAAAATCCTGATCGGGTCAATGTTGAATACGTTTTTGGGGTCTGTGTTTTTGATTTCGCCCTTGTTTAATGGTAATGAGTGGTCATAAGTGACCACCATGAAACGAGACGCTTGTACTTCCTTTAATATCTTCTCAAACTCTTTATCCACAACCAAACCCTGTAATACAAATGAGCCGCGTCACGACAAAACCAACATAATGGGTTTGCGACCAGCATGGATCCTGACCAGCCTGCGCATCCGCGCAGTCTGATCAGGATATATGCTGTTCGCTATCAGTTTCTCTACTTGTTATAGGGTTAATAAGCGTACAGCATGGATCCTGATCAGACTGCGCGGATGCGCAGGCTGGTCTGGATCCATGCTGTTTGCAAACGCACTATGTTGGTTTTGTCGCGACGCGGCTGAAATGGTAACCATGCATGTGTATTATTTTCTGAGTTTCTCTTTGCGTGTATTTGAGTCATCCATACGTTTTAAAAAGAACTTGTTTTTATAACCATGACAGAAAAAATAATGTATTCATGTATAATGTGAAGCGAAATAAAATCGTCTGCTATTAGCGTATGATATCATACGAGTTACGTCCCTTTTATCACACAAATGTATAAATACACATAAAAATATATACATTTAGATATCATGTGAAGCGACATAAAATCGTCTGCTATTAGCGCATCAGCATACGAGTTACTTCCCTTCTATCACAAATGTATAAATACACACAAACACAAAGCACTTAAATGTTCTTACCGTAAGGTCGAGCTCTTTAATGTTGCTTTCCTTTGCTTGATATAATTTTGTCAATAATACACTTGTCATGCTTGCTGTGATAGGGTTATGACATAACTGCAATGTTAAAAGTTCCTATTTAATCAAAGCCATAATCGATTAGAGAGCATTTGCACACCATTTCGTACAACATTAGTACACCATTTCGTATAACGTTATTACACCATTTCGTACAACATTAGAACACCATTTTGTACAACATTAGAACACCATTCCGAACAATATCAGTACACCATTTCGTACAACATTAGTAACCATTTCGAACAATTTCAGTACACCATTTTGTACAACATTAGTACACCATTTCGAACAATATCAGTACACCATTTCGTACAATATTAGTACACCATTTCGAACAATATCAGTACACCATTTCGTACAACATTAGTACACCATTTCGAACAATATGAGTACACCATTTCGTACAACATTAGTACACCATTTCGTACAACGTTATTACACCATTTCGTACAACATAAGTACCCCATTTCGTACAACATTAGTACAACATTTCGTACTTTTAAGGGAAAGTCTGAGAACAGTTTATGGTTAAGGCAGCACACTCAGTACATTGTATTTACAAGTAAACTTTTGTGAAGTGATCGTAAGAAGTCATTTCCACTTTACCATTGGCAATAATAATCCACTTAAATTACCAAAAAAGAGGCAAAAATGTGCAAAAACGGGCCTTACTGCGTTAGTCACGCAATATTATATGGTGAAAGAAAACTTCAAAGTCAGTCATTACTCGATCATCGTGTAATTTATAACTTCAATCTTGAATCTTTTTAATTTTCTTAAATTCTCAATACATTATTCTTAGGTTTGATATTCTTGAGATATATTTGCTCATCTGGAGGCATGCAGTTGTAAGGCAACCATCCTCAATACAGATTTCATTTTCGACATTAACATTATAAGATGAATACTCCGAGTGATAAATGAATCTTTAGTACTTGAATTAATATGCATAAATAAAAGCTTTTAAACAAAAACAAAAATTGGTAAAAACCTTCAATACAGCAAGGGCTTTATTCTGTTCCAAACCTTTGATGAGTTCAAACAATGCTGGTGGGTGTATTCTGTTGTTGGCTAGATCTAGGGCTTGTAATGTTGTGTTCTCTTTAAGTGCATACCCCATAGCCGTACATCCTTCAAACCCAAATCCATTCCATGATAGTAACAAAGTCTCTAACCCTTTGTTGGCCTGAAATATATGAATGTAAGCATAGATGACTGTGAACTTTCTGAACTCCAGACCAAACTGTTCATACATGCTAAGATTATAAGCAAACTATGCTTCCATGGGATACTGAAGTACATTCACACTATACCTTTACGCTAGGAAATGCACATGCTAGCCATAAAGCCAAACAAAGATAGATTTACCGCTTTTAACCATAAAGCTTATAGTGGCGGCATGGCCAAGTGGTTAACGCATCGGACTAGTAATTAAATGATCGCTAGCTGCATGGGTTCAATAGGTTCATGGGTTTCCTTGAGCAAAATACTTTACAATCATTGATCAGTACTGGAATCCAGGAACGTATTCGAAAATGTGTCTTTAAGCTTATAGCTTCCAACAGAATTAAACTAAAATAAAGTCTGTTTAAACCAAAGCTTAGTATGTGAACAACGCATTTTAGAATACTTCGAAGTACCTACAGTTTTATACACTGAACAATGAATATGTTGCATACGGAAGATCTAACTGTCATTTTAGTAGAAATTTTTTGAAATAAATACATTATATGACCTTTATTTCTATGATTTATATATCTATAGAGATAATAATAAACACGTTTGGTTACCTGCACTCCCTTACATAGACCTATTGCACCATTGCCCCGTATATGATTCCATGAGAGGTCTAAAGCACGAAGGGTGTCATTTGACCCTGAAAGTTATGAATATTTATCTTAAAAGTCTGATCAATATCCCGATATAGTACACATGTTGTTCTACTTAAATATTATATTTAATGCAATATTTATAATGATTTGTAGGTAAATAGAAACAGCCGACTATAACAAACGGCCAAAAACAACAACAAATAGACTCAAATATCAACCATACTGACAGTAATGGATTATCTGTATTCATTTGCAATCGATTTTGATCTTGTAACACAGTTGGAATATTTTTTAACTTATGTAGATCTGATATAAAATATATTTTAATTCTGAATAATTCATACAACTAAATTGTTATCGGTTACTTACTAAGAGCCTCGCCTATTTCTTTACCACATTCGGCTAATTTGTTCCCTCTAAGTGCTAGCTCAAGTATAGTCTCACTATTCTGTTAATAATACAACATTAAAACACCAGTCAATAAAGTAATATATTGTATGTTAACGCATGTGATCATAAGCATATGAACTTATATTATATTCATGTCAATTAGATGACAAATTAAGATAAATGCAAATGAATTTCTCGAATTCTGATTGGCTTACATGTTTTTTTATGCTGTCATGTATGAACCGTGAGAAACTAAATGCCCGTTAAGGCACATAACAATATAAACTAATTTTATTGATGCGCCTCGTAATATATTTATTTCAGTCAGGTTATATTCTCAAAGGCATGAAAATAGATTTTTTATGAGTGGTGAAAGCCACGAGTGACATATTGATATTGATTTTACTAAGTACAATACTTTTCATATCAGATATTTTTATTACAGAAAGTTCCATGTTATTTTTTACTTTTTTCTTTCTATGGTTTTGACCTTACAATTCGAAAGACTTCTCGTATATTCCCGTCAATCAAACAATGTATGGCTATATACAAGTAATATTTCACTAATAATAAAAAGTAATAAGAATACACATTTCAGTTGGCTACCATATGTTTTCGGACAAGAGAGTCTAAAGATATCCCGTATTTTTTAGAATAATAAATAACCAAAAGATAAACTTTATTCTGTGAATAATAAATATTCTGATCAAATATAATGAACTGACCTCTATTATCTGGCTTATACTTTGCCCACCATTGTCGGTAAAATTATTATCTGAAAAAGGAAATGCGAACAAAAATATTTAGCCGGACAAATGATAAAAGCTTAAATAACTTGCGTAAGTTTAACTAAAGTTATCCATCCATTATGCCTTAATTTAGTCATAGTGTCTCTTTTTTTAAATAAGTATACACAAGGTAGCACACCTTAATAATTGTAGCCATAAGAGTGGATTTCTTAGATTGGGTGACTATTTAGGATTTAAATTATTGATTTTCTTTAAAATGCATTTTCAGCATCAATTTTGTTTTTGTGTTTCGTTTTTTATAAACTCTGGCAATGGCAATAACATACGTGCAGTTGATAAAAAATATCAGAGTCGCCGTTTTCTGTAAATTGTGTTTCTTGACGTCAGTTTTGGTGAAATCAAACCATTTACAGATAGGGCAGGGCGAAAGGGGTACACATTTTTAGCACTAGCAAAAGCACGTGTTTCTTTGTGATATTTTGCATAACTTTGTTGTTGTAAGGATCAACAGTGTTTCTGTTATTCTGTTATTGAAGGTGTTTTTAGAGAAGCTAAATGTGTTACTTCAGGTCTCGGACCACAGTAGGTTTTGGATTTCACAGCTTTTTGGACTATCTGACTAATGTAAATGGGATAATCTTATTATAGACTTGCAATATTATGGCATATATTATCAACAAAATGTGTTTTCTTTTCCCTTGTTGTGTATTTTTGGGCCAGAAATATCAGACGCATTGCTTATAGGACCTTGACGGCAGAAACTACAATTTAATGTAGAACGCTATCTAAGCACCGTCTCCCGCCAAACAATGTTGTGATCTGACGGATACTTGAATATATGTCATAATTTATAGTTGCTTTCCAAGTTACTTTTCCTCTTTAATTTGCAGTTGAGATAAAGCCTTCGTGAATGTATGCATAATTACATAAAGTAATTATTTCAGTTTCCAAAGTAGGTTTAAGACTATATCTAAATCGTAAAATAAGATTAATCTGTTAAGTTAATCCGTTAAGATTATGAAATAAAGTTAAAGTTCAGGCATTATATATCGTAATTTTATTTGAAAACAAAGCACTTGACATGTAAGAAAAGTAAGTTTCTAATACAAGTTGGCCGTATTTTAAGAATAAATAGTCGCTTTTTAAACGGTGAAATGTAAAATAAGATTAATTCTTCACCTAATAGGATTAATTATTACAATATATGCTTATTTTGATTTTTAAAGATATGCATGTATTTAATATGTCTGCACATTTTAATCTGTACAGTTATAAATAAAGTACATTATTATTTAACAATAGAGTTACATTTATCTGGATTGGGTTAGATAAAACTGGATTATTAAAATAAATTACAATCACCCAGTGTCACATATGACACTTTTTAGTTACCCATAAATCTTTGCGGTCGAATCTTAAATATGAAAACTTACCAAAAAAAATTATGAGAACTGACTATCTTTGTTCAAATATGAACTGTTTACCAAATACATTAAAAAGAAGTTTAACACTTTTTAGATATCCTTTTTGCATTTGGATATTTGGAAACAATATCTGCGCTTTTAGGAAAACTTCTCTTATTATTAATAATAATAATAATAATAATAATAATAATAATAATAATAATAATACTAATAATAATGTTATATAATAATTCAGTTTTATTTCAGGTTATTTATTTACCACTGAGGTCGATTTGTCTAATGGTCCTGTTCTTGCTTAAAAAGTTGGCCAGATCCTGCAGACTGCGGCAACACAAGTTACATCCCACTAGAGACTACAGAGAAAAAAAAAACGATACATTTATTATATACTTAATAACAATATAAAAGCAAACAATGTTGTAGAAATAAGTATTGTACTAATACAGGCATGTTCGGAAAATACGCAGACTTTTTCGTTTTTTTAAGTTGTTTGAAAAAATAAAACAAAAAACAAAAAACAACAACAACAATATTGTTAGATTTTCTGTTGTGTTTTTTTGTAACACTATAACTTCATTAAGACTGTCTGATATAAAAATAAATAAATAAAGTAACACCTTTGTCAGTACAAGATATACAATATCGTTTTAAACATAACTACAACATTATACAACTTTATAAAGTATACGTATAGCAATTAAGTCATACTTTTGACCTGGAAGACAGACAATTAAAAAAAACTGGTGGTGATAACAGAATCAAAACATGTACTATCTTAGCTTTCCTTAAAACGTATATGAGCCGCGTCATGACAAAACCAACATTGTGGGTTTGCGACCAGCATGGATCCAGACCAGCCTGAGCATCCGCGCAGTCTGATCAGGATCCATGCTGTTCGCTTACAAACCCTATTACAAGTAGAGAAACTGATAGCGAACAGCATGGATCCTGATCAGACTGCGCGGATGCGCAGGCTGGTCTTGATCCATGCTTGTCGCAAACCCACTATATGCGGCTCATATGTTTTCAAACACTTTACGTACGAGTTTGACTAGTGATCTATGAAGGGCAGCAAAGTCAGTGAGGTAGGTCATCTGTCTCCGACATAGTTTGTTACCACCAAGGTCTAGTTTCTCAAGCTCGTCGGTCTCATGGCCATTCTAACATAAAAGGAAATAAATATTACAATATTTTAATTTCATATATTTTGTAAGACAATGAAAAAATATAAAAAAACATGACTTTTTGTTAAATATTATGCATATGGCTTTTATGGAGTATGACGTGTTTAATTGTACACATCACGTGACCTAGCAAAATTAAAGATTATTTTATCTGAATATTTCTTTGACAGGCTCACATATGAAGAGAAGGATTTTATTATTTAGCATCAGAATATGTGATTGTAAATAAAATATCGATGGAAAAATTATTTACTTCAATTTAACGGAAATGGTCGTAAACAAAAAAGAAGGAAGTAAAAGTAAGCTTACCGGTTCTCCTCCCTCCCTGTTCACGTAAAACTCCTGCAATACAAGATATAAAGCATAGAAAAATAAGTTGATCAAATATTTATTAAATAATATTTATTTTTAGTTGTATAGATTTGGACCGGTGATACATGGCTCAGCATAAACGACTGTTAACTCATATAACCCGAGCATCTGGGCGAGAGTTATATTGCTAACAGCCGTTTATACATCGACATAAAACTTAAAAATCTTCAAAACAAATTTATGATACAGGACATTTCATTTTTTTTTTAGGAAAAATGAAAACTTTTTCACTTTACACCAGCCGTTTATATAGAGTATATAAACGTTAATATCAGCCTTACAAACGCGCAACATTATACAAACAAGATATAAGCAAAGAGTAAAGATGCTCTTCCGTTCGGTATGTGCAGGTCACTGAGACGCACAAGGCATCATCTTGGATGACTTGTTTGAACTAGGCCGAATAAGAACATTGTACCCCACAGGCCTAAAAATCGCTAATTTATGAGTCGGAGTTAAACCTTGCATTCCGAGGAAGGGGTCTTACAGAGTATGCAGGGGCAACGAGTAAGGGTACCAGGTTGACCCCTAGTGCGCAGTGACGGTTTGAAAAACAGATCCTTTACTTGACCCCGACAGCCTTAAGCAGGGCTACCTACATTACCATTGTCACAGAGTAATGTGCATTTAGGCAAATGACCGCTGGACAGTGACCTACTTCCGGATCAAAATTCATTTATTCGGCTAATACTCTGTCTAAATTGTACGGAGGTAAATTATCATTATTTAAAACTTTTTAAGACATGGCCCATACTGGACAGCGAACGCTATTTTTACTAAACGGATAACACCCGAAGATTTCGCGATATTGATTTAATTCTTGAGATCACATCACATACATTCGCGACATCCTTCACAAACAATATGATTTATACAGTTTTTTTTTTATATAAATGCATTATTTGACATATGCATAAACTCGATCTAAGTTTTATTAGATTTTCAATAAAAGATTTTTGGACATAAAAACTGCACATTTTACATTTTCTGTATTATTTTCCGAAAGATGAATAGCTTAAAATTCTATTATACGACAATCTGTATCTCTGATCTATAGCAAATTACATTTAAATGTATGTCATTAACTTTTATTTGATCAGATAAGAGTCTGTTAATACCCAAATCCTTGTATTGTTGATTTTAACATCAAATTTATTTCGGTGTATTATAAAGTCATTAATAATCTTTGATCTTGTTTGATGATAAAGTGAATGGATTAATACGGAATGTTGAAATGAATTATAAATTTCATCAACGGAATGACATATATTGATATAATAGATACTAAATATTTTATACAGATATAAGACAGATTTTATCGTTTCACTTCATGCCATATAAATTATGAAGATAAGAAAAGCAATGCTATAGTTTTCACAGATATCATTTCTTTTAGAGAGGACATTTTCCTTGCTGTAACAATTCAATTTATCTATACAAATGATTCAAATTCGACCTTAGAATAATAATACAATATATCGGTGTTTTACGAAAAAATATAGAAATCATATATAAAAGTTAATCATAGAAAATGCTTGAATTAAATAATTCAAAGGAATGATGGAGGTGTTAGTATTTTTCACTGCGGATCAGGGCAGTGAGTCACATTAATTTTACCAGAGCACAGCTCAGCCACCGCATCGTTCCTTGGCAGGCTGTCAAGCAGTTTACCTCACTTTCGCAAAGAACTGATAACATCTCTAAAAGCCAGAGCAGAGGTACAATGCAAATGACAGTAGAAAGGATTTCATAATCAATGACATTCATCGTCCGTGAAACGAACACGGATCGCCCGATTCACAGTCCAATGCTTTACCTATTGAGCTAACCGGGCAGTGCTGATTTAAAGGAAAATACATAATATTACATGAAAATCTCTGAATACACGGACTTCCGTTTTTCACGTATGATAGATTGTATTTAAAATGACATACAAATTGTTGTACTTACCAGTAACGCAACGAATAAAGCCTTAATTTCCTTCTTACTGAGGTTGAAACCCTTCAAGGAAATACTTCCCTCGCCAAATTGTTTAGTCACGTTCTTTACAGGTATTTTCCCATACTTTTTACACAGTTTCTTGTACACAACAGCACCTCTGTTCAACTGATTAACATGGTCGTCTTTCGGTTTAGCAGTTTCTTCCTCATCTGTAATTGTTAAAAACTGTGAAGTTACACAAGACATCTCTTTAATTGGTTGATTAATTGATTAAAATTCTAATCCGTACTCCGTACATGTTTTAATAAATAAAAACGTCTTGGAATATTCATAATTTTTCTTTATGAATTTAAGGTTACGCTTTTAACCTTTGTCACAACAAAGAGGGAAGATGTCATTAATATTCAGGTTATAAGTGAAGAATCAATATATTTCATATTTTATGACAAAATGCAAATGTATGCAGATTTAATGGAATACAAAGAATAGGTATAAAGTTCAAAACTAAGTTTAGGAAAATGAAATTATACCCAGATTGTAAAACTTCATCGTTAAGATTACATTGGAGTAAAGATTTTTACTAGTAAGGAAAAATCAATTTGAACTGTTGTAAACAAATTGCTCCTTATTTGATAATGACGTAAGTGTAGATCTATGTACAGATGAACGAACAGTCACTGTTACTTAATAATTAAAGCGCTATAAGTAAATTAAGTTTTATACTTTATATTTATATAATTAATTATATAAATATTATTATTAAATACTATATTTTTATACTTATCGGGACATCCTTTAAATTTTATGAAATAAATTTAATTATAATTATTTAATAATAATATTTATTCAAATGTAATTTAAGTTTCTATTCATAGTACTTCTACGGTTCATATTAAGTTAATTTGCTAGAGACACTTAAAGACAGTTCTTGTCATATTTATGTAGTTGCATTTTTTGAAAAGTTGTCACCTATTTATCTATTTTTTTCTTACCGTCAGTACTATCGAAGATGTAATCATCCTCTGGATCAAAATGCTTATGACTGACCCTGCTGAGACGGGAACCAGTCACTCTTGCCGGAACGGTTAGTCCAAGATGATGGGCACCAGCGGTCTTGTGAGGTGCTTTCATGGGCGACTCCACAGCAACACGGGTTGTCTTGCGGGAAAACAAAGGTCTCTTTGTATCCTCGTTAATCATTGTGCTCTAAAACAACATTAAATTGCTTGAAACTTTATAAAACAGGTACTCTATTCTCTGTATTTAAATTTGATCAGTGTTAAATGTATTTTAATTAGGTTGAAAAAAAACACTTTATATAAAAAGTGAATGTCTGGAAACAATGTCGCATGTTTAGAGACATAGGATGGTTATTTGCCCCCGTGATATTATAGTATTGTACCAGTCTATATTGTATTGTTTTTGACATATTGGGACAACCTCCGTAAATATAATTGAGCCGTGTCATGACAAAACCAACATAATGGGTCTGCGACCAGCATGGATCCAGACCAGCCTGCGCATCTGTGCAGTCTGATCAGGATCCACGCTGTTCGCTATCAGTTTCTCTTCTTGTTATAGGGTTTGTAAGCGAACAGCATGGATCCTGATCAGACTGCGCGGATGCGCAGGCTGGTCTGGATGCATGCTGGTCGCAAACGCACTATGTTGGTTTTGTCGTGACACGGCTCATATGTAGATCTTACCCCTTCAGCTTCATTTTGATCAAATACAGTGCCGTCTAGTTTTTGACCCGCTAGACCACAAGCAGTGTTTCACTTCTATAAAGCAACGGGCATTTTGAGTTTGCATCCTATACGGAAAAGCTTACCTTTTGCAGCTTTGTTTGCACTTCGTACACTTAAGTTAACAGTCTTAGCAGGAAGTTTAGATTAAGAAAAAAGTGAAACAGTCGTGTCTCATAAAATGTATACTATAAGAACTTTTTAAGTCTTGTAAAAATATAAAATATAAACAACTTAAATATGATCATACATTTATGACACTGATATAGCACGAGTTGTCCATGTTGAATAAAACTGTTCATAACTCTAATATGTACTTAAGATTATGAAAATAAAATAGCAGAAAAAAATCGCTATACATAAGAATACTGAATAAGTATATACCTTTTATTTTTAAACTCCGATTATAAATTTATCATGAACACACTGGGAGCATTTTAAAAATATCAACACAAGTACATTTTTTGAGTCCGATGACACTGTCTAATAAGTTCACAATCTGCCATATTATTATGTTATTATTGAGACCACTTTATCATTTTGTCGTGAAAGCTGGTAACCGTATCACCTGAACTACGATTAAGGAGCTAATCATGCCACGGTCTATCATTTCCGATACCTTACCGGTACAAAACAAGATTATCCGGATTTTCTTTATCCGAATTCACTAATCTCATCGGGTTAGAATTGTTGCACATTGATTGTAAATATTTGGCAAATTTTTTATAATTGTTGCATAATGTTGATTTTCTATCCGAACTGTTGCATAAAATTCATCTCAAGCTGCAATAATTTGACCTAGAAGAATATTTTACCATAAATTATCTTACCGAAAGAGATAGCTATCGAAATCTGCAGATTTTCTTTTTCACAAATGATATCTTTTATCTTACAACAATGGAATTTATTGCGGACATCTTGATTAAAAAGATCACAACAATGGGCCTAAGGTTATATCTTTTCAGCATTTTACAGGCTCAGCAAGCTTATTTCAATAAAAGATAAAGTTTTCGTCTGAGTCATTTAATAGAGACTTTAATAAATAAGAGATCAAAAATGGTATATAAACTGTAAAATGTTTTAAAAGTTTTTTTTCCAATTCCTTGCGACAGTTATTATATAAATAAAAACTCATAACGTTGGTTTTGATAAAATCCAGAATTTGTTATTAATAGATAAATTTAAGATTAAAAAAAAATAAATACACCAAGAGAAGCAAAACTGTGTAAGTAAGGTACCAATATTCGTTTTCAATTTGTTTTATATCATTTTTCTTTGCATATCAGGAACAAAATCTGCAGAGTCAATTGCGATTTTATTAAAACTTATGGTATAAAACACTAATAAATCGCCCGAATTTATTGATGTCGCCATTATAATTTTATCAGTCGAGGTTGTGATTTACCTCGCCGCATATCATGTTATAAAGATTACTATAACTTTTAAAATATTTAAAATCAATGGTCATCAGAACGAGAAAAAAATGATTTAATACATGTATCTTGTATTAATTACGAGGTCGAACTATAAAGGTACCTATATCATTTTTCCAATTATAGTAAATTAAAAGTTTTCAGTCAATATTTGAAAATATTAACGTTTTTCTTCTTCAAATTATCTTGTTTACCAAATTGGTCGTGTCTTGACATTGTATGAAGATAAAGAATTTGAATAAATTAGTCGGGTCTCCGTTTATTTACTTCTTCACATGGTGTATTTGAACTAAAAATGCACACTATTTTTTTTACTTTAACATTATTAATTTATAATTCGTAAAAAATAAGATAAAAACCATTTCATAAACATCTCATTTAATATTAATTATACTGCTATACAAAAAAATATTCTAATCAAGTAAATAAAATATATCATATAAACTAAAAATCGTTTGGTTTTAATATAAAGAAACGGTACATTTCCTCAGCCGTAAGAATATGGACTTATAAGTCGTACTTCAGTTTTAGTTTATAAACGCCCAGTCCCGTCCCTTTCCCTAGTTCGTCCAACAATCCAACTAAACCGTCCGGGAAACAAACTTACTTGATTCCCAGGCGGTGCAGGTCACTTTTGTGGTGATTGATCATTAAATATTTTCTACGGTCATTCGCACCTCTGCTCTGGAATGAACCGAAGTTATCAGTTCCTTGCGAAAGTGAAGGCAAATGGTAAACTGTTTGTCAGCCTGCCAATGAACAATGCGATGGCTGAACTCTGATCGAGTTTATTCGATTTTACTTACTGTCAAAAGTAGTAAAAACTAACATTACCTTCACTATTCAATCAAATATGAAGTAATCAATTATTCAAGAAATAACTCAAAAAATCAATCTTCAAAAAATCAATCAAGAAATGAAATGATATCAAATCAAATCAATTAAAAGAACTATCTATAAACTTTCAGTAAAAACAACTTAATCGTTACCATTTTCGTTAATAAATATAAATTTTTACGAGAGGACATTTTGTGGGTGTTTCTTTCATACAAAAATAACCAAGAACTCAACAATATAAACGGAATGTATAGAATTTAACGTTTCCCATTGCACACGGTACCTTACAAATGTCCTTTCATTCGCTCGTGTGGACAGACGTTCGTTGTATATATGAGCCACGTCATGACAAAACCAACATAATGCGTTTGCGACCAGCATGGATCCAGACCAGCCTGCGCATCCGCGCAGTCTGATCAGGATCCATGCTGTTCGCTTACCAACTCTATTACAAGTAGAGAAACTGATAGCGAACAGCAAACGCATTATGTTGGTTTTGTCGTGACGCGGCTCATATATTTATTTTCAAATGTAAGAGATACGGGTATAAGAGATAAAACAATGCCCTCAATAAAATCGAATATTGACCTGACAGACCAGATTTCTAGCTTTCACAGACTTAGCAGGATTATCATATATTTGATTAATAAAACAGTACTAAATCCTGTAATCTTATATTGTGTCAGACCTTATATATCGCTGACCAAATATACAAATGAGAGATGATCCATATTTACTTGTTAAACCATGAATTCAGTAATATTAACAACACGTCTACTGTGATAATGTGAAATATGTCCTCTTTAGAAATCATAAATAAAACTACCCCCAACACTTAAAAAACCCAAAAAACAACAACAAAAACAACCAAAAACAACAACAATAATAACAACAACAACTTAAATAATAATAAAAAAAAATTAAATAAAATAATAGTAATGATTCTACTTCTACTACTGACTATTTCATTGTCGTTTAAATTAGTTACCAACATGTAAGTTTAGTCGTTAATCATTATTAAGACATAAAACATCTTAGTTATTCAAATTTTCAAGTAAATCTTATTGTGAGATAAGATAAATGATAAATAGATGTATTACAAAAAAAAAATCTGCTTTACATTGGTAGACTGCATTTAGCTGCATATTCCAAGTATGTATATGTTTCCTTCGATATAAGGAATTTCATTCTTTTTAAGAATTAAAATTTTATAATAAAATTGATAACTACAAACCTCAAACATATGTTATTTCTTTAGTTACAATTCTTTAAAAAGTCTCATAAAATTTTGTCAACAACCTCAATACACAAAAGACGTTAATTACGTATGCATTTGCCATATTCCACCATCTCTATCATCTTCAAGGTTGAAACAACCGTTGGAGAAAAATATAACAAAAGAACATATCTAAACATATATGCGGCGATGTGACGCTTAAAGCGCACTGGACGAATGCAAATAATATAGGGAGACGACTGATAAGATTAACAAAAGTCCGGGTATTTTTGAGTCATCCCTCGCATTAACCAATGTTAGTTATGTTTATATTATTTAGTGTCATAAGAAATCACAGTCAAACTATGCTGTAGATCAATCGTTCCATTTAAGGTTAAATAAACTTTGACAAAACTGCAAGTGCAAGCGTACACGTCCAATCTACAGTGCCAAGCATACCGTCATGTGGAAAGCAACATGTACGTATGTATCAACTTACGGCATTTAAGCGGAAATCACGCAAAACATACTGACAATAATAATAATAATAATAATAATAATAATAATAATATTCATAATCCCCCATCCCTTTGGGTAACCCCTTGTCGGATAAAGACGACTCGGCACATGATTTAAATAAGAACATTTACATACATGTGTAATTGAAATGATAATTGTAATAAATATTACAATAAAACGATGTTAACAGTTGTTTGTTTAATGACGATTACATTTTGAAATAGTTTCATTTTAGATTAGCAGACGAAATCATTGACAATTTACGATACAGAATGTAAAAAGATACCATATATAGCTTATACAGTGTTTACTTAGTCCCGTAAAGGTTAGCTCCCTTTACCTCACACAACTAAACGAGTTTCAATACTTGACTGGTTTGTTATTACTTCCTTATAGCAACAGTTCTCGAAATTGTGCTTAAATCGGGTTTATTTTGTTTTGGATCACAGTAAGTTTTAAAATAATAACATTTTCAAATCAGGAATAAAATGCGGTTAACTTTATGACATCAGATTAATTACTGATATGTCCAGCGTTTAAAATGTCTACTTTCGGTTTCTATAAATGTACTTTTACTTTGATTTGTACTTTATTCAAACTTCATTTCTACAAATTGTACGCAGACATATTTTCATAATTCTTAGAAAATTATTTATTGCGTTCATAAACAAGGATATGATATGCAAAGAGTAGATTTAAAATATAACGATTTGTACATGTTAAACATATGCTATCTCTTTGATCTTACCGGATATTTTATGAAGTTAAAGATTATCAATATAGTGACATTGAATGTAGTTGTATAAGATAATAATTATTTACGCAAATTTTCATATGAGATATAGGGGATTACAGAAACATCAACAATGTAACAATGTGTGTTCTGTATGTAATTTTCTTGCTTTTGACCTGTTACACTTATAACTGGTAGAGTAAAATAAAGCTATGGTGGCTGATGTCTGCCATTTCGTGTCTTCGCCCCTCAAAAGTCGAAGGCGAAGACACAAAGAAACGATAATATGCTCACTTATCGTGTCTTCGCCTTTGACTTTTGGGGGCGCTCACACGAAGACACGATATGTTTTAGGCGAAATAACGTTATTTTAAATGGCGATGACATGATACCTTTTTCTTCAGAATTATCGTGTCGGCGGCGGCGGGCAAAAATCGTATCGCCCCCCCCCCCTCCTCCATTGCTCCATTGTCGTGGTGTCGAAAGGCGAAAACAAGATAAATGGCAAAATTGTCGAATCTTCATGTTGTTGTGTCTCTCCGCCCCCCCCCCAAATGTCGAAGAGGGTCGAAGAAATTAAGACACGAAATGGCAAAAATCATTCACCAAACTAAATCCTACTTATTCTTCACTATACATCTGTAAGGTTATGTTGAACCACTGACTATTTGTAACCAGCGTCGTATTGCGGGATAAAGACCCGATGCAGATGTCTGTGGCTTTGCTTTGAAGTATACGTTCTTATAACAACTCAGCACTGCATCTATGACAATCTGTTATGATTTATTTAATGTCTGGCGAGCTTTGTTGTCATTTCAGGCCCATGTAACAGGGCACATTAGAAATCCGTCCTCACTGTCATATTCACAAAGGTAAATCAGTGCAGACGATAATTCATTTCTTAAGAACTTTGATTTTTGCTAGGTTGGCGAATGAAAAACAATGGGTCCAAAAAAGAATAAGAAGAAGATTCAAAGGCCTACTGATTTCAAAGAGGTATAAATTTAAGATTATCTTATTTTTGTAACAAAATAGCATTACAATATAATTAAACTATACAGTGGCATTATGTGAAAATTAAATTTGAAGTAATATAACTAATGATATAGCAAAAGTTCAAGATTCAATATTCCAGATTCAATTTTCTGATGTATCTTATTTCAAGCTCATTCAGGTTTTTTATACATAAATGTTAATGACATTTACATTGGTTTGTCGGTCAATACTATATAACTTGTGTTTTCATTACTGCACACGTGGGCTTCAAACTTTACAAATGTTACAGTACAAAAGCACCTCCAGATTCACGTTAATTTTCATGAAAATGTTGGAAATTAATTTAATCTTAAAATATTTCGAGGTGAACAAATAAAGCAATTAACATGTTGCAATCGGCACTTACAATCCAAGAAAATTACCAAAAAAGTGGTCAACTTAGCAAAAACAGCCCTTACTGCGTTAGTAACGCAGTAGAAATATGGTGATTAAATACTGCAAAATCAGTCAAAAACCGCACATAACATTTAAAATATAACTTGGATCTTGCATGTTTTACCTTTCTTAAAATTATAGTTCATTTTTCTCAATTTTGAATTTCTTGAAATATTTTGGCTCATCTGAAGGCGTGCAGCTTTGATCTTTTATAATGTTTATAATTTATTCGAGGTCTTTGCTTTTTACTCGCAAGAGTTTCCATTCTTTTTACTCGCAAGAGTTTCCATTGTTTGTCAGTAAAGGGAATAATGTTAGAATCTCAGAAACACCATTTGACTGGTTAAGGTAACGGAATTGCTAAAGCAATAGAGTGACGAAAGAGCCAAAAAAGTGCATAAGATTTGACCTTTTCAATGTGATGTCGGTCAAATTTCGTCACAAGTGATAAATTGATGATTATGTTCTTGTTCTTGTTCCTTTGAAACTTCAATTGATCTGTTGCGAGGTTTATCTATTCAAATTACTGTATGCAGATTGTCTCACGTGTTTTGAAGCTAAGAAATGATCGGCATTCCTTATTGCTAATCCCATGACGCGCACATTTACAAGTTAAACATCACGTGTTCTGTTGTTATATTTTTTCCTTTAGCCTGCAACTACACCAACAAGGAAAGCCGCATGGAGAGCATCCCGGCAAGCGTCAGATGCTAGCAGTTCAGAGGCTTTCTCTCCTCAGTCACCAAAAAGCCTACCAGGGAGTGCTATGCGTACTAGTCCGTCATGCTCTAGCATAGAGTCGGACTCATCATTTAGGTCACGTGATCGTAGATCTTCAAGAAAACGGTCACGCGTTGAGTTTGACGAAGAAAGTAGATCATCTATAGATTTAGACTCATCGTGTAATAGTAGTGTGTTCTGCACTCAATGCAAAGCAAAAGAATCAGAAGTTGCCAGGTATCATTTAGATTATCACACACTACAAACATCATGTAAAATTTCTTTATAAGTCTCTCTTTGATATTTTGATAAATGCCCTCACTTGATTATATATTGATACCTATTATGTGTTAATTTTCAATTATAAATGCGTCGCAAAACATTATTGCAGTTTGCAAATACATATACAAATTGTCGTTAAGATGTCAAATTTACATTTGAAATAAATTGCTCCTGTTTATAGAAATTCATAATACTGCTCATCCTCTGTAGTTTAATGTAGCCACCACAAAGGTATTATCTAGGACTAAGGATTTCTTCCGTTGATTTGTCAAGTTTCCATTTTTGGAACTGTCTGTAATCAGTATAGATTATAAAATTGAAAAAAATAAAGTCAACCAACATGCTGCCTGGTCCTGCACTTGTGGCAAAGACTATATATTTTTGGTTAAATGGCTCTCCTCTGTTTCTTCATTACAGGTTGATGGAGGAATTAACTATCCGGGAAAACGTTAGGGAACATTTAGCAGAAATGAATGCAAAATTTAAAGATGAGGAAAATGCAAAAGAAGAAGCTTGGATTTTGTATGTCATTTTTTTGTTGTAGAGTTTTTGAGTATTTCTTTTTATAAAACCATCTCTAATGTTAATGACAGTTTGAAATGACTTCTCTTTATAAAGCAATTCTTTATATAAATGTACATAAATCTTTGCAGGCTTAAACAGGAACAAGCCAGCAACGAAACATTGAAAGTAGAGCTGGATGAAATGCGCGCCAAATATGAAGAGGAGAACAGACTTAAAGATGAAGCTTTGAATAGGTAAATCACTAAAATCATTTTTTAATTTGGCAAATGGGGATGCCCAGCTATCCCGGTGAAGAGTGACCTCCGATGTCTCTTCGGTATCATATAAATGTCTTTATTATACCCTTATGATGGGATTTGAACTTATAGTGGTAAGTGGTAAATGATCTTAAGCTAACTTAACTATTTAATCATGAGACTTATCATGTGAAAATAATTTTTATCATGTGCTAGTTTTGAGGAATGACAAATGTCTTAGACTCATGTCTGCAAGGATTGATATAAAATGTTGAGCTATTAAGCTATTAGCATTGTGCCAGGCTTGTTAATTCAATATCTATATATTTAAGACTGAGTGCCATAGCATCGAGCAGACTGCGGGACAACAACGCGAATATTACTGATTTAAGTGATCAGAACAGACCAACAAAGGTGGCTGAAAGCTTTTCTGTAGTGTATGACAACGAGTGGACAGATGCTTTTGATGTACTTCAGGATGAACTTGGTGAAAAGGAGACCATAGATTTCCTTCTGAATAGTTTGATGGTATCATAATTATATATATATATCTAAGAGCAAGGCGTATTACACAAATTACCCTGCAAGATCACATATTTTAAGAATTATATAAAGTCATTCATTAGAAAAATGTTTAAGGTTATAATTCACATATTCATTTTTATTCTTTATTATGTTAAAGGTACATTATGCCACAAAAAATGTTTTTTTTTATATTTCAAAAACATTTCAAGTTCCTTATTGGCCAATTATCTGAACTATCGTTTGCTTCTGCTACATTTTGACAACAATGACAAATTATTTGTCATGAAAGTAGCAAAGTGTACACTTAGTAATATTTTGACTCCCATACAAAATATAAAATCACTATAACTGTACTAATAGCCCAAACATAAATTAGTGTGAAAGTTGCATCGGGTTATAGGCAATTTAGTAACATTTCGAAAGTCATCAAAGTGCACTAGAATTGAAAAACTTTAAGAAACAACAATAAAATGAATTTCTTTGGCCTGATAAATCATTAAACCATGATATCAACGTTATAAAACTTATGTCTGCCTGTACTAAACTAAGAAAAAATTTTTCTGAGGCAAAGTGTTTTTAATTCAAGGCTTGTTTGAAACAATGATATTTTAATCATTCCGTAGATTACGTGGATAAAGGCAATGAGGAATGCGGTTTAGATATGAACTTCATGTATATTATTTATCGTATCAAAATAAGAGAAGCAATTGTAGTTGGATCCAAACATTCATCTCTTTTACAGGAATCATTTAAGATATGCCAAGAAATTTCCGCCGAAAATTATCTTGAAAAAGTCCAACGCTTCATTGAATTCCCAGTACAGGTAACGTTTGCATGTTTTTCTAATGAGTATTATTATTTGAAAGTTGATATTGGAGATAAAATTGTTTGAAACCTTCATAATCATAATTTACTTTCACTTATAATTATAAAAGTGTTACAAATGTATATACAGTAAAATAAGCAACATTTGGGGTTTATAGTAGACTTTCTAGTAGCTGGGACATCTTTTGAATTGTTGAATAGCCAAGAAGCCGATCTCCCATCCTGTTGATGATACATACATGTATACGCATATACACCATTTCAGAGGGAACCTTCGGGTAACACTCATTGTGAGCTTCCAGACAAGTTGATTCAGCAAATAAAAGAGTTCCGGAAGTCACGTGCAACATACGTCATCAACGATGTTATAAAGGTGATTAGCTTATTCAGGTTAATAACTTGTAAATATTAAAAAGGTAAACAAATGACAAGGCAATTATTTTTGGAATACCAAACTTGTGTATATGATGAAAAACAACGATTATTTGATTGTGTAGGGAGGAGTTGGGTTTGGAGGTCGGTCATACCCTCTGATAACTTAAAAAGCATTTGCTTTTGACATTGGCCCAAACATTTAGTACATAAATCTAAAGCTGTAACAAGAAGAGTTTTTTGTATCATTTTTGAACTTGATATGTATTATATGTATTCGAATATCTGTAAATAGTGTAATTGATTTTCGTGTATTATTTGAGATGACTTTGGAATTATCTGAATATATGTAAAACGTGTGACAGGTTTTCTCAGAAAATTAAGAACAATCTTTTCCTTTTTAGGAAGTACTAGACAAAATACAATCCAAGTATGACAGTAAGGAAGAAGTACAGGCGTATAAACGCAAGTGTGCCGAGTTGTGCTGGTTAATGGTTGTTCAGAATCCACCGATGATCCTGTCAACGACCGCTCAACAACAATTTGATACCAATTTGTACAAGGACTATACCAAGCGGGGGAAGTATGTAGACTATGTGGTTTGGCCTGCCTTGTTACTTAACGAAGGCGGTCCTGTCCTATCAAAAGGCGTGGCACAGGGTTGCAAAAAGCAGTCGTAGATGAAATAAGTGTCTGATCCGCTCCTGTCTTATCAAAAGACTTTTGGCAAAGGATGTAATAGCCAATTATAAACAGTTTTAACACCTCAAAATATTTTGCATTGTATATGTTTGTTGTATATTTACATGCTTCCACATAAGTAATATATATATAGTTAGCAAAAGGGAAGTGTCCTTTTTTGTTAATTCTGTAACCAGTTTAAGCATATGTATTTTCTTACAAGAAACACGTGTAAATGTTATAAATATAAATTCAAACATATATAGAATAGAAAAACATGCAAACATTACCTGTACTGGGAGTTCAATGCAGTTCTTGGCATGTTTTAAATGATTTTTGCAATGGAGATGAAAGTTTTGATCCAACTGCAATTGCTTCTCTTATTTGAATACGATAAATAATATAGTTCATATTTTAACTGTTAGAAGGTGCATTACTATTTGTCTTTATCCAAGTAATCTACGGAATGATTAACATATCATTGTTACAAACAAGCGTTGAGTAAAAGAGACACTGTACCTCAGAAACATGTTTTCTTATTTTAGTACAGGCAGACATAAGTTTTATAACGTTCATATCATGGTTTAATGGTTCATCAGGCCCTAGAAATACATTCCATTTTTGTTTCTTAAAGTCTTTTAATTCTAGTGTCCTTAGATGACTATAACCCGATGAATCTTTTACACTTACTGATTTTTGGCATTTACTACAGTTATAGTGATTAAAAATTTTGTATGGAAGTCCAAACATTACTTTATGTACATTTTGCTACTTTTATGGCAAATAATTACTCACTAATTGTCAAAATGTAACAGAAGCAAAAGATAGTTCAGATAATTGGCCAATAAGTAACTTATTATGCTTTTGAAATATAAAAATAAAACAAACAACATTTCTGTGGCATAATGTGCCTTTATCATTCATTATAAAGTTTAAAAAAATGAATACAGTACCCTAAATATAACCTTAAACATTATTCTTTTCTAACGAATGCCTTTATATTATTCTTTAAAAATGTGAACTTGCAGTTTTGCTCTTAGATAGATATAATTATGATACCATCAAACTATTCAGAAGGAAATCTATGGTCTCCTTTTCACAAAGTTCATCCTGAAGTATATATATACTCTGTTTATTTATTTTAATCGAAATTGCATGTTTTTGCGTGTGTATCTTTAGTATGTTTCGTTTATCCTATAAAAATGTGAATTGAGCTGAAAATTTAGAAAGACTTTTTATTCTTACCTTTAAATTGTAGCTGACATAATGCGATAAATCCATTGTGCTTTCCGCTTAAAAATGCGTAAAACTAAGAATTAAAATAGTAATATTCTATAAAAATATACTTCTATTTATACTTCATGATTTTTATGATTGTTGTGACAATTACATAATCAGCAATGTTGTAGACTTACATAAGTGAAGTTTGGTAATAGTGTTAGTTGACATGATCGAGCGGATAAAATACTAGTACTAGTGTTGCACTCAGCTTGCCCCAAAACGCAATAAAGATTTAAATATGTGACTACGCAAAATCATTAGAGGACTCTAAACATAATTCGCGGTTCTGAACAGTGACATCAGAGAATAAATATACTAAATGGAAAATTTATTTCAAATTTTTTTCTACTTATCTTATTTCAATGAATACTTATCAATCAAAGTCCATATTTATTGATTAGGTGAAAACAACAGGTGTCGGCCTCATGTGTAAAATTGCTAACAAGAACACCTTCATATTTTTTTGTTTAGTTCGTAAAGTACTGCACGAGTAACTCTAGTTAAATTTCCAACTAACTTTTACACTGTACAAAAAATAAGTTCGTTCTACAAACAAGAACATCTCGAAACGGACACACGGACTTTTAAGATTTCTTTTGTTTGCAGAAAGGAATAAAATACTGTTCTATTCCACTAAGACACTTCAACAGTTTACATACTTCAATGAAAACATAATATATTAAGTGTTTGAAAAAATATAGTCCAACTTTGACCAATAGTAACACCGGCCACATACAGATTCGTCAATACTCGATAATAACGACCCTTTTTAACTTAATTAACAATTGACGGAGACTGACCATCATCAATGTCCGTATCAGTATTGATAAGTAAATTAATTGATTAGTGAATTGAAAATAAGTGTTCACATTTACCTTAAGTATCATTTCAATAAACAGAAAACGCACAATGTGTAAGCAATATGCTTTTGTATTTCGTATAGAGCCTTATTATTATATAATTTCTAGAAAGGAGTTGTAGTATAGAGCCTTGTTAAACTTTACGGATGTCGATTTGTCGGGTTCAGTTTCCGTTGATTATGATAAGCTAGTCGAATGACAGTTTTAGCCCCGGTGTAAAACTATTTTATAGTTTGAGTAAGACTTTTGGTAGTTTTTACAGATAAATGTACATGCATATTTTCAAAACATGTAGTCTTGTATAAAAAATGTAATGTTGTAAAATTCGATTATTCTCAAATTGCCATCCGTTTCAGCTTTTTATTATTAAATCATATTCTTAAGTACTCACTTTTAGCGTTATAAAGATTTAATGCATGAGATATATATGCATTTTGAAATACATGTATTATCAAAGAGGATATTTTCTAAAAAAATCACATCATTGTTTTTACTCCAAGAGCATAACTCTGTAGATTATAAGTAATGTTTTATCATTGTTGTTTCCCAGAAACGAAATCATTGAATATGGAAAATAACATCCTGGTGTGAATGTTTTACTTTTTTCGTGGAATTGAGGAGATAAAACGTGTGTGAAATGTATCTTCCGGCATTGCGTAACTATATAGTGTATCAAAAAAGGTAATTTTAAGCGGGTATATATTATGTTGATTTAAATTCTTTCATTTGTGTATATTTTGATTAAATAACCTTAGTTTCGATATCGATATAGGTTTATATAATACTACCGGGTACTTTATTGATATACAATAAACGTACAATTTCATGAAGTTTGTACTTGAATATGCATGTGTTTATTGAACTCGTAACGATTATGACAATTTAGAACAACTGTATATATATTTATGTACAGTTGGGTTGGTACACACATTGACAAACGCTATATATTTATATAATTATATGCACTACTCCTAAAACTGTTGCTTGACATCTATTCATCCATGTGTTATAGGGTCAAATAGTTCAATAGTTCTACAGCATTGTTAAGATAAAGAAAGAATCACATCATGCAGAACATGATCCATGGTTTTCCGGGATTTCAATACATCACAAATAGCGACAGTGGACCCCCTCCCACTAAGAAAAGAAAGCTCAAAGACGGCAGTAGTGGTATCGGAGGCTCAATGTATGAAAAAGATTTGGAAATAGACAATTTGCATTCGGAAATAAAACGGTTGGTGTCACCAGTTTTATAACTGATAATTTTTAACAGGAAATGTTGTTTAAAAGTAGAAACAATTCACACTGATTATTGAAAAAAAGAATTAATAAAGGTCACTTGTTATGCTGTGTTTTTTCATTTGATTCTTTCAAAATACTTTTCGTAAAATTATTATACTTTCTTGTTTTAGATGTTATGAAAAGTTTTTAAATTATTGAAATTCAGAAATATGTAAATTATCAATTAGCCAGACCCCTGACATGTTTATTGCAATTTCCGTGTCTGACACATTTATGTTTATTTACGTCACATGTATGACAACATGATTATTATCATTTATTTTATCTACGACATGTATTTGAAGTTTTCTTATCCGATTATCTGTTTGACTTAAAGAAAGGAATTAACAGGCCGCTGACTTTTGACATCTGACGTGTTAATCAGTCTTAATATTTTCATATTTGATAAAATGTATTTTCATTGGTTAATATTTTCCTGTTTAAGGGTCAGTTTTTCATTGGTTAATTATTGAAACCTTTGTTACAATTATTTGTGTATTAGTAAAAGAGACAGAACTTTTGGACATAGAAGGATTCAGGCAGTAAGACACTTAACATGTGACGGTTTAAGTTTAAAGTGTTAGTGCCGCAGTTTTCTGCGGTACATTTTGATGTACATACGAGATGTTATTACAACCGGTTGTAACTGTTATTGTAAATATGAATATTCAGAAAAAAAGAAAACTATATTAAAAATAGAAAAAATGGACTTACTGAGTTTTGTGTTTATGATAACTAAAGGATCTTTAAATAAATACCGAATTAAGATGAGTGACTGTTACAAGAACAGAACAGAACAGAACAGAACAGATATTTTATTAAGACTTGTACAAAGTACATCATCTACAATACATTATATTCACATATGTAATCGCTGCATGAAAATTAACAAACAAAATATGGATATCACAAATTACGTATACAATAGTTTCATAACAACAAACAAACAAACATGCAATCAATCAATCAAACAAACAAACAAACATGTAGCTATGGAAAAATGTGTATTTACTATCTACTTTTATAATTAAATAAGACGCTTTTATGGATATTTTTGAATCAAAACAAAACATTTGGAGAATGAACATTAATTGTAATCAGACAGTAGCATTTGAAAGTACATACCTAATGGAAAGAGCTTCTTTAACAAATTTGGATAAACGTATAAGCTCATTTTTATTTTGTGAGTTTAACAGTTGAGTAAATTTGTAAACTGATGGATTTCTGTAATAGTAGGCTTTTAAGTATTGTTTTCTTATAACATCATAGCATTTACATATACAGATAAAATGGTACTCATCCTCAATATCTAAATCATTGCAAAGCAAACAATATCTTTCTTCACGAGGAATTCTATTTCTACTAAATCTACCTGTTTGAATTCTTAAAGGAAGGCCATTCATTCTTAATCTACAAAAATAAAATCTAAAACACCTAGGTAGTATATTTAAATAACATTCATATTCAAAACAAGATTTAACATTTCTATATATACATAAAACAGGACTTTTTTCAAGATTACTAAACCATTCTTGCTTGAAGGAATCAATAAGACGACATTTAAATTCAGATAAAAACATAACCTTGTCTATATTGTCACAATTATCAAAAATATATGAAAACCCATAATTATTTAAGATATTTTTAACATTAGAAACCCAATTTGTCTTCCCTTTTTTGCTATCTTCAAGTGCCTGAGTGTAAACTGTTTTTAATATTATATTGTCTGTATTTACAAGTTTTAAC